CAGACGGTCAGAGAGATGGACAAGCCCAGCGAAATGCCGGGCGAAAAGCCAGGCCAACATCCACCCGAGTAGTAAAATGAATAGTGAAAAAAATTGAAAAACTTATCATTCATCTTAGAGTCAAAAAAAATAGGCTAGACTGGCCGAAAAAAGGCTAAATTAGCACCACTAAGACAATCTGTGCCAAAATGTGATGGCGCTCAATGCAGCCACAAGCACCCACTCAAGCGCACACCTACTCACCCACACACATGGTTATGCACACACACACCAAGACGCACACATCTCACACACACTCAAAAATTGTTAGGCATGTCAACTGCTTCATTTTGTGTGAAGCCTGCCCACATTTGTCGCATGTAAACAAATCAGCTAGACAAAGCGCAAGTGCTCTCACACACACACACACACAGCTTAAACAAGAGGCAGCGGCAGAGTAGCAGCAGCAGCAGCTGTTGCTGTCCAAACAGACAACACGTGCTCCGTGTTTACAGCAATAGCAACAGCAACAGCGAAGCTCTGAAATCTCGTGACGCATTCGCAATTGCATTTGAACTCTGTTTAAACAATGACAAACGTTGGGTAAACGAACTGAAAACTATTTGCAGTCGGCAGTCGGCAGCCGGTAAATATTAATGCGAAAAAGTGGCCATCACAAAGTGAGCGACGACTGCAGCCAATGACCGGGCAGACAGGCAGACAGGCAACAGCAGCAGCAGCAGCAACAACAACAGACAACAACATTTGTTAGAATATATGTATATCCAAGCAGGCCCACTTCACACCCATTTAAAGTAAATTTACATGTCTAATGATTAATATGCAAGCGCTGTCTGTCTACATCTAACTATGACTATGACAATGCGCTGTTTGTCATCAGCAATATGATAAATTCTTTATTGATTCTCGTAAAGCGATAAAAAAAAATTACGCTTTCATTCATAAAAATGTCTCGGCAGGCAATTAGTATGCAGCTGATGTAGCTCGATGCACAGTGCATAGAAAGTTCTTTTGGAAAGTCGACTTGAAACAAAAGACTGAGGCAACGAACTTGGGCAGTCGGCGCTTGCAACATGCACACATTTCATATGCGGATTTTTTTTGGAGATTTTTCACAGCTGCAAAATAGTTTACTTTCTATTTCCGTTTGATCATCCATTTCGAAATGAAAATATTTCAAATGGCGAAAGCAATTTTTTTTATTTTTACGGCGACAAATATGTGTGTGAGCAGATGCTGCGAGCGATGTTAATGAACTTCACGTAAGTTGCGGGAAGTAATTTTTTCATTTTTCATAATTGAATTAAAGTTTTGCTGATGATTTTATTAAAGCAGCAACAGCAGCAGCAGCAGCGGCAGCCGCAGCTAGGTTAAACAAAAAACAGTGCAATAAACAATTTAATTGTGAAAGTTGAGCGCTCGGCAATTTACATTCAAATCGTAGTCGGCTAGGTTTGGCAATAAGTTGGGTAGTTATATATAAATAAGTATTATATCAAAGTCTGATTAATTGACATTATTTAAATGATGCCAAATTGGCTTTAAGCCATCAAAGACAAAGGTTATTGTTATTACTTTTACTTATTTTGTGTTTGTGAAAGTCGTTTTGAAAATTTTGTGCGTGTGCGCAGAAGACTTAAATAAAAAACAACAAAATTGAATGAAAAAAATTTGAAAGTGAATGCGATAGCCGTGTGAGATGCAAGTTGCTTTGTAATTTCTGCAGTCAACAGTGAAATATAACAGTAAAAATGCTTGAAATGATGCAGGCAAATCAGCAAAGTCAACAACAAATGCAGCTGATGTTGAAGACTTCATCTCAGCAGCATCAAGTGCTCATCAGCACTCGACCTGTTTACAGAAGCCCTCCCAACAACGACAAAGAACAGCTTCAACAGCTCATGAGCAAAAACACAGGCGTTTCCCTAGTTTTTGCTTTTCTTTTAGCTGTTCTTTTGACAGAAATATGCCAGCATGCCAGAGGCCAGCTTCCATCCGCTATGAGTATGCAGGATATTTGAGCACCACTTAACTGTTGCTGCAGCATCACAGTTATCAGAACTTTTAATCGACTTCTTGATCCGTCAGCATTTTTGCTTATAAATGTTCCAAGAACAAAGTTCAGTTAAAGCCATTTTTTCTCTTTAATTTTGCATGCACCATAAAAATGCAACGAAATTGCTGAGCAACTTAATTGGCAGACCCAAGCTGTGATAAACAAATGTTGCCACTTGTTCAGACTTTGCTAAAATGAGTGTTAAAAGAAATGTTAGGCAAGCAAGTGGCATTTCAAATACTCTTTTTCATAGCAAAATATTCACGGCGAGTGCGAATATCTTAACTTTTAATTCGTTCGATAGTGAGAATTAATCGATACTTTTATGTTTCTCAAAGCTGCCTTTCCCATCTCTATAATTGCAGTTTTAGTTGTTTCGATAATTAATATTAATCGATACTTTTATATTAGTCTACACTTCCACCCACAGCCCACAGCACTGCTACACAACAGTTGCCCAACAGTTCCTTTTTAGCATAGTTTTGCGTTTCAAACTTTTCACTAAAGTCAGCAATGCCGTTTTTAGTGTATTTTAATATATGCATCTATGCTATAACCAATTGCTCATATCATTGGCAAGCTATTCACGTAATTGCTCGTCGGGCACAAACTAGAACACGTCTGCGCCTGGAGTACTTGTACACGTTGTACGTGCCATGTCAGAACAGCCAAACGGGAGTAGACACGATGTTCTATATAGCTGACGTGCCGGTAAGTCGGTAGGATGTATAAATAACAATAGTCTGGACAAGCTGCATCCTATATATATTTATATGTATATATGTATGTTATGTGTTTAACAATGGCAGCCAAAATTGAAAGGTGCAAAAACAGCAAAAATGCAGCTCAATAAACTAGCTAAAATGTTTTGGGCATAAGCGACGCTGATGCAGATACAGATGCAGATGCAGCGATGGAGACAAAACGAACGGTGTAAAAAAAATTGTCAGACAGTCGTACAATTTAACGGCTTTTGTTGCATAAATGCAGCAGGCAACATTTGTTATGCGATTGCAATCTATCGCGCAAAATGGCGCCGATTGTTGACAATGCGAATCGAGTACGAGTGCAAGTATGAGTATCGAGTATTGAGTGCGAGTACATCGTTTGGCTGCAATTGCGCAAAAGGCGTTGAAAATTTATGGTTGGCAAAAGCAGCAGCAGTAGCAGCAGCAAGCAGCATCCCCCTAAAGCTGCGGCTGTCAAGCAGTCAATCAGGCACTCAGCCGATTCGGCAAAAGAAAGCTGACAGACAATTATAGACACTAATAATAATGATAATAGCAACAACAATAGCAGCAAACAAAGCGTATAAATATGACAACAGGTTAGCGAACCTCACACATTTGCATATGAAGAAACAGAGAAAGAGAGAGAGAGAGAGGAATTGTGAGTATAGTCTAACAAAAAAAGGGAGAAAGGGAGCGAAGAGCGGTACTAAAAAGCTTGCCGCTACGCGCGTTGATCGTTGGGGCCAGTTTCCAAGAGGTGTTTATTATGCAATGAGCGTTTTTTCATCAACTTGACAAACTGAGCCATGAAAAAAGCAACAAAAAAAATAAATAACAAAACAAACAACAACAAGCGACTTGGCTCATTTTGCCTTTGTTTTACCATTGTGCTTTATGATTATATTTTCTCTCTTCCCTTGCCTGTTTTTTTTTTTTTTTTGCTTGCGAAGGCCTACACACTCACAGGTGATATTCATTTGTCTGTATCTGTATCTGTATCTACGGTGCGTCGACTGGTCTGAGAGCCAGACCAAAATGACAAGTAATTCAATAAAAATTGCATGTTTTACATAAATTCTGTTGGCAGGTCATAAAAATGCCAAAGTCACATAGCGCACACTGATTCCAAATTGAATGAAAATGGGAAGAATAAAAAAAATTATTTATTGCATTTTGGGCAAATGGAAATTCGCACGAGATATGAAATAATGAACATTATTTTTAATTTAAAGTTGTTATTTTCTTTATTGTTTAATGTTCCATTTTCAAGGTTTCAGTTTACTTGCTTCGATATCAGGAAGTGAATAACATTCATAATTTAGTATTGTATTTCTTGAAATTTTTACCGTTCCATTTAACAATTGCATAGATTTAAATTGTTGCTATAGTAATTCTTGAAATTTAAGAATTTTCTAGTCAAAACTCAAATGTTTCATTGTTTCATTATTCCCATAAAAAAATAAATTCACTATTTCGTCTAAAATTTTTTTATATAGCTTCGCTTTCACTATACCAAAGAGATATTTTATGTATTGTACTATTATCTTTTGCAAGAAGAATTGAATTTCAACTATTTTTAACTGCTTAAAATGGAGTTTTTATTATTATTTGTTTATTTTTATTATGTCGTTCAAATTACAACTAGCTTGTTCCATTTCCTGTTCCTAGTAGATCCCATAGACATTTCACTTTTGATAGGATTTAATTTCAAACTTAAAATTGCATTTTCGCGGTCCAGTTCAAGTTTAATTCATATAGACTCTGTATACCCTATCTTAAATACACCTAAAATGCAACGATAACAGCCGAACACAATGCAAATAATATCAGGGAGTCGCAAGGCAACTGCAGGTACTCCTACAGAACTTTATTGGGTAACAGGGGCTGGCACAACAGAAAGGTTGACCAGCTGAGAGCCCGAATTGAGATGACTTGTAAAAAGGAAGTCGGGTCATAAACAATATGTGTTATTATTGTGCTGCGAGTGCGTTGAACCTTGCGTTGATTTTTATTTACTTTTTCTCAGTGTTTGGTTTGCAATTTGACGCTGCACAGTTTGAGGCCTGTCAGCACCCAAAAATTGAAAGAGAAGAATTCTTGGATTTACCGTTAGATGGTTAAATACGTCGGCACACTTGAAAGCCAAAATACATAACATCCCATGCATATTCACAAACAGAACATTTATGACTTACTCGTCGTATCTTTTGCAGCCTCTCGCCTGGACTGGGACTGGGGACTCGCAAGAAAACAAGAATAAACAACAAAAAAACAATGGTTTCGAGAAGAAAAATATTATCACGTTCGCGCGATGATCTAAACCTGGATCAGACATTCACCCAACAGGAGGAGGAGGAAGATGTCTGGTATCAGAAAGATAAACTCTATAAGGTAAGCTCGACTCGATGATTGATGCAATTATACTTATGCAAATAAGCATAAAAGATGTGTATAAGTTGATAAGTATAAGTATGCTAAGTGTTTAGCTGGCAGCTACTGAATTATAAAGTCAAATGGAGGCCATGGCAAGACGACACGATTTTATACAATTGGACAGCTCAAGACCTTTTTTGACTTCCGCTTGGCCAGTTGGTTGGTTGGTTCTGCTGCTGCTAGTGCTGCTTCTTCTTCTATGATTTGTGGCTATTTTATAGTGTGGCTATATTCTCGACACGTGCAACGCGGTTGCATTGGGGTCAGCAACAGCATAAAACGCACTAAACCTTAGCCACAAGCGATCTTAGCTGTGGCTGCTGCTGTTGTTGTTGTTGTTGTTGCTGTTGTATTGACCAATTGCATTAATTACCGTTAGGCCATCGCATTGCGTTGTGCATTTTTAATTTGCCTATGGCCATTTGGCAGTTGCCGCAACGACAGCTGAAAGCAGCAACAACAACAACATGAAAAAACAAACGTAACCCTAATGTACCAGCCCAGCACGAGCTTCACTTCAGCTAAGTGTGTATATATGTATATGTGTGTGTATGTGTGTTGACTTCTTCATCTGTGTGTGGGCATTTCTCATTGATTTCAGCAGCATTTCAGACAAACAAAATAGACAATAAAATCAGCATTTAGTTGCTGTCCCTAGCTCATGTCATGTTTATACGCAGACATAACATGATTTATCATATCGTAATACAATATGTTGTAGATCTACATGAGCTAACTATGCAGAAATATGTTAAGGCAGGTGTATGTGCAACAGAAGACAAAACAGAAACAAATATTTGAAATTTTTGAAATGTTTGAATATTTGTATAAGACTTATATAAGAGTTGGACAACATGATTTAATTAAGTGAGTGTGTAGGGTCTGAGTTATTAAATGAATATATCTCACAGGTTATGAAGACAAAAAAGGTGATAATATACCCAAATATGGTTTCCTTTATTTGCTACTATTAATTAGTGCTTTCATCAATATAAGTTAGTATCAAGAATAGTGTGGAGGAAGCAGAACGATATGCAAATACATTTAACTTACATTAACTTTCATCTTATATTCTTTTGTACCTAAATAGACTATTTAATAAGATTTTACTTATACTTACCTTTATCCAATACTTATATTATATTATAATAATTATATATTATAATTATTATTATATATAAATAATAATATATAATATAATATATATTCTGTTGTCTTATACTTATACTTCTACTGCAACTTGAACTTAAACACATACTTGTACCCCTTGTCAATCTTACTCACCTTTCTATAAACTATTTCTTTTTATGACATTCATTCAATATTCATAGCCCACATCTCAATAGTTTTCGGCGCATAAACGTTCAATTTGTCGCCCGCTTTTAAGCTTTATTATTTTTTTGGCAAATGCCGTTGCTGCCCACACAGGCACACGCATACGCACACACAAAGATTTGCCATTGTTGTCCTAAATATTATGTTTATTATTTAACTGGGTTAACTGCAGTCAGTGAACAATTTCAACCAATCAAAGTCGAGCACTTTTATGCCCCTCTATCAAATGTATGTGTATTTTCTCTGTCTCACTTTTTGCCTTTTCCAATGGATTTGCATAAAGCCGCGCCCAGTTCATGTGACGTAAAAGAAGTGAAAAGCTAAGCGACACTTTATTTGCCTTGTGTCAGATCAAACTTTGTCTTTTTTTGGCTAGAAAAAAGGCAAACGCCCACGCGTTTTTTAGCCGCCGCCGCGTTTCGCAATTGGCGTGAGCGTCTATATAATTCCATTTAGCAATACTCGAAATACAAAAGGCGTCTAGTTTTTCCCATGGAAATGAACCAAAAAAAAAAAAAAAACAAAAAACTACTACAAATTATGGCAGCATTTTCCTATTGTCGTTTGCTTAGCTTTGGGGGCCCTTTTGAATCGGACTAAAGTTCGCTTTTTTTGCCTTCAGTTTTTTTGTCTTTGGGCATTTATTGAGCAATCTGTGTTGGGCTTGTACTATATTCAATAATGTTTACAAATTTATTAGCTGGGAACGTTGTCGCTGCCTGCCATATGCAGTGCCAAACAAAAGACTTAGGCAACGAACTTGTTTTTGGCATAGACAAAGCAACTGAAAAAAAAGAACTTTTTAGTGCAAAGGCGCTAAGTGCTTGACTGCCAACTGTCCCTGCTTCTGCTTCTTCTTCTAACCACTTTTCCATGTCGACGAAAGTAGCATGAAAATGAAAGTTTTTCATTTATTCGGCTAAGCTGACAAGTTTTCGCTTCGCTTCGCCTCGGTACTGCCTGTTGTTGTTGCTGTTACTGTTGCTTTTCCACTTCCACTTCCATGCGCCTGTTTGGGCACTCGTTCACCTGGTTTCGGTTTCGGTTTCGCTAGCTAGCGAGCTGGCTGGCTGCTTGGCTGGCTATGCACAACAGGATTTTGCAGCCACCGCCAAAAACGCGTTGGCGCAAGCAGGAAAAACCACACACAACACGCTCACACACACACAGACTAACACGCACACGAACGCTTGGCGCGTAATTTAGCTCTTAAACGTGCAGGAAAATTATGTTTTTTCTTTTGTTTTTGTGGAAATTTTTGCTGCTTCGCACTTTTTATGCCTATCTTTTTATAGTCGCTTACGTGCTGACAAGGGAGTTTGGATTTGTATGTTTCGCTGCCTATACATCTATCAGACAGTCAGTTTAGCTGTTTGATTGAAAGCTAAATACTTGAAATTAACTTAATAAGCTTATCTATGTAGCCTTTGCCTTATAAATTTAAAAGAGTTTTTAATGTTCCGGGTTTGTAGCTGAAGAGCAACGCCTAAAATTATTGCCTTATAAGCAATATAGCTTAAGTTGTAAACACAATAGATACGCCCAGTGGGGCTGTTGTTAATCGTACATTATACATTATATAGTATATTCCAAGATATTTGTAAAATTTACTGATATAGAGTAGGCCCAAGAGCTTTATATAGCTATGCTCATTGCAAATGTAGCAGAGATTCAAGAAATTCATCGTGCCCAGCTAGGCAATTAGAAACCTTAGCTTTACTAGATTGCATGTTGTTTTGTCTGTAGATCCATTTTTATATATATATTATATATAATCTCCCGCTGGGGAAGGAGTGGCAAATCAGATAAGACTAAAATTTCCACAGTTTTGAGGCAGAGAAAACTAAGCTTTGCAGTGTGATCACTGTCAGATTGCTCTACAAAAAACTTCATATAAATTTTATAAACGATACATGGATTATGGGATTAACTTGGCTCAGCTCAGTTATATGTTTATAGGCGATAAATATTTTTAATTTTTTTAATCAACTTAGTTTATTTTTGGGCCATGAATGTTCTAACTTACTTTATTTCTTTTTTGATGAAACAAAATTTAGTTTCCTTATCAAATATACACACACCTTAAGTGTATATATAGATAGACATTTATATATACATATATACATAAAGATCTTGCATATATACAAATCAATCAATTTTCATTGACGGAAGACACCGCCAGCTATTATTATAGACGAAACTATGCATGAAATTAACATAAATTTGTATTGACCAAATAGAGAAAAAATGCAGAAAAACAAAAAAAAAAACTAGAGAGAAATAAAGAAAAGATAAGCAAAGACAAATGTTTAAGATGCCAGCCACTTGATGGCAAGCGCTTTTTACTTAAAAAAAAAGATAATATTTATTTTGCCATCGGTTTGGTTTGGAAATGGGTCAGGCGACATTTCAAGTTCTGCGCTTGGGGCGAAAAGCAAATTGAATAAAAAAATATAAAAAAATAAACAACAATTTCTTTCGCAGCGACTGCAACCTGTCACGTCGCTACGAAATATATTTATCAAGTCCATAACAATTTGAAATGATGATTATATCTATTTACAACAAAGCTTGCCGCAGCGCAGATTCATTTTATTAAATGTCAACTTGGAGCGCTTGGCGCATCTGTTGCCATCCTCCAACACCAGCCACAGCCGCAGCCGAAAGTCGTGACTGCAAAAGTTCAACAACATTTTGCACAAAAAGTGCAAACTTAATAAACTTACAAAGAGGAAGAAGCAGCAGCAGCAGAGGATGAGGAGATTCTCTGAAGACCTAAAACCAACTTCCAACTTCCGTGCTGATTGCACTTGTGCACGTGTTTTTCTAGTTTTTTTTCTGCTTGGCTTTTGCTGCTGGGTGTCAATTATAGAATTTATTAAAGCCCCTCTAACGTACAGCTACTTTAATTACAATTTAATGACAGCTGTGCCCTTTACAAATCAAATACTCGCACCGTTTGTGCCACATTTGTGGCATGCTGTTTTGGAGGCGTGCCAGAACATACAAAACTTTCAATTTTGCGACAACTAAAAGAGCAGAAAGGTCGAAGCGGAGATATTGAATAAGGCTATTAAAAAATATTAAGTAACAATATTTTATTTATGATATTTGATTCGTGCAGTTCGATTTCGATTTCATAAAATACTTAGAAAATTATCTAATAAAAGCAGAAAACTTCTCCAAGCGCCAACCTTTAAACACACTTTTATTCTGGATCTAGATGAGGTAAACTCAATTAGATAATCAGTTAATTTACTATGCAAACCGCACACAATGTGAAAGTTAAATTAGCATTTGAAATTTATTTTTAATGTATTTTAAGAAGCATTTGGAGCAACGTTCTTACACGTGGGCAGCTGCACATAAATTCAAGAGAGATTTGTTCATCTTTGACTTGTTTTAAAAGTAATTTTAAGCAGCTATGTCATACGTGTCTTGAATTTATTATTAATAACTTATTTATTTATTTATTGAGATATTGTTTTAAAAATTATTTAAATATTCTATATATTAATATATAGGTGTGTGCGTGTGTGTAGCCGCCGCCTTTTATATACACTTGTTCAGCCGATTTGCGTCACAGCGCTTAAAATTTCTTGTATATAGACAGCTGTTGTTGTTGCTGCTTAAATAAATTTCCATGCTATACATAGGGTACGCTAATAATTTGCATAACAAATGTGCGCTTACGAAAACCAGTTCAGTGGCTTTTCAAGAATCGATTGGCATTTTGGACAGTACGAAAAAAAAAATATATATATAATATATATTTACATAGTGTATATCGGAGCTGCGCTAATTTTCAGGCACTTATCAAGCTATAATCAACTAGTAAGAACTTGAGAAGTGCATAGAGAGGCGCAGCTTTTAACGCAACGATACTTTTGACATTTTGAGGTCGTCGCAATAACAATTTTTTGGAAGTAAACGGCCTAGAAAATATTTATAATAAAAACAACAAAGACGACTTTGTAACTTGTTTTTGCTGGCCTACAAGATTCTTTTTTGGCCAAGAGAGGTTGAAGAAGAAGCAGATGGAGCAAAAACCTGTACAACAAAAGTGAATCTGTCCGTAGCAGAAGAATCTAAGCGAGCTTTTGAAGTGAAATCAAAAGTGCTTGTCGACTCGAAACAGCAGCAACAAATTAAAGCTAAAGTACGCCACACACACACACACATATATATATATATATATATATATATCGCCACACACACACGCGTCTATACAACACGCCGAAAAGGTTAACAAGTTTTACTACATGATTTATTTGCATTTTTAATGTGCTGGCCGGGCAGCATCTGATCAGCCAGCTCTGGAGCTCTGCCTAGACAAGTTTCAGCTAACGTACTCCCCTTTAAAAACTCGATGTAGAACTAAACAAAAATAAAAACTTAAAAAAAATGGAAGTTGCTTGTTTGTCTTATTCATATTTTATTTGTGCTTAGGTCTGAACTTTGGGTAATGTTGTTCATGTTGGTTACTGGGCTAATGGCTTTTGTTTTATGACCCTGTTCTTCTGGTTGGGTTAATTGAACTCTTTTTTATCCGTATGATAATGCGGCGCCATTAAACCGCCAGCTGTGCCAGCAGCCTTGATTGTATGCGCGACTCGTACAAAGAGTACAACAGAAATTTCAATTAAATGAAGTCATGAACCAGTTGATTTGGCTTGTATATGCTGTGGTTCATATGCTTACATAAGTGGTTCACTCAGGCAGTTCATTAAAGTTCACAATTGCATGTCTACTGAACGCTTTACAACACTGTTTGATAATGGCATTTAGAAAAGGAAAAAGTGCAACAGAAATTGAACTCAAATGAACCTAAGTGAACCAGTTCGTAATGAAATTGATTTGATTTGCTTGTGCAGCTATTCATGTGCTCATTTAGACAGCTCATTAAATTCATTAGGCTTATACTTGCATTTGCGTAAATAAAAATATTTAAATTTGGTTTAAATATTTTACTTTAGAAAGTGTTTTGTTTATATATTTTTTAAAATATATTTGTAGTATTTTATTAATTTATTTACTTATCTCTTTAGTTTTTATTTTTAGTTTCTTTATTTTTAAGTTTTCTATTTGACAATTTTTAAATTAATTATTAATTTCTTTTACTACGTATTTAATTTATTTCATTATATTAATTTTTTAATGAGCTCATTTTTATCAAGTTATATTTTAGCTTTCTTATAATTCCTGTATTTGTTTTCGTCTTTTATTTTAGCAATTTTTTTTTAACTTTTTTGTTTTGTTTATATATTTACATATTTTTGGCCTAGGCTAATTCCATAATTTTATATAAATTATTAGCAACCCAATTTAATATGCTAATTTTTAAATTTGCATTTTTCTTTGCAATTAAAAATTTAAAAATTTGAGAGAAAAAAATTAGTTCACGAAATCGAACATCAAACTATTTAAGACCCATGTTATAACTCTTTTTAATTATAACTAATTAAATGAATATAACAAAACTGAAAGAATAATCTACAGTCGCTACAGCTAAAGCTAGCAACATCTCGATAAGAATTTGCAAGCAAAGACGCATCTAAAGGGATATAAAAAAATAGTGATGATAATTAAGAAAAATTATATAACAGTTTAAATATTTTTTATGAAATAGTGGCTATAAGAAATAAACAATATAAATCAAATTTCAATTAACAAATTTAACTTTACTTTAATAATTTAAAATATTATTAATCATTTTTGAAGATTCAGCTAGGAAGCGTGAACTCATATATTTATTATAACATTTTCTAGCCATTTGCTGCTGTTAAAACTTCATAAATATTTTGCTCAAATAATGTGATTACATTTGATGTATTTATTAAGCAGCCTCTACTTATGCTTATAGATGTGTGTATGTACATATGTAACAGCATATCGATATATATGTATATATAGATAAAACTATATCAAAATGTAAAATATGCGCTTGTGCACTTAGGCATGACGCAAGCAATAAAGCAAGCGAGTTGCATTTTCATTTTCTTAGTGCAATCGAAAGCCTTGCAGCACTTTAAATATCTCAAAAGCACACACGTACACACACACACACACAAACACACCTACATATATATATATACAAATGCATATACAAATGCAGCTATATAAAATAGTAAACAGCGTTGTCTATAATTTTATATGTCTTGCTGCAACACGACTCGCTGGCGTGCCAGCATTTGCTCCGATTTGATTTTAACTTTTATTTAACAAACAGCAACAAGAACAACAACAACAGTTGCTTGTAATGCCAGCAACAACAACAATAACAGCAATAGTAAAAGTAAAGTGAGTGAAAAATAAAAGCACAAACGCAAGCGCCCAACAAGGCCGTTCACTTTGTCTAGCAAAAAACTATACACACACACTCACACACACAAACACTGTTACACATTTGATGGAAAGTGAAAATTGCTGGCATTAGTTGCATTTGCAACAGCCGTTTGCAGCCGTTTTTTGCTTTGATTTTGTTGCTTTCGTCTGCAGCAAGTTGCTCGCCTAAGTCTTTTGTTTTTTTTTTTATTGCTCAAGCTGCCATTTAGCAAAGCTCTCTCTCACTCTCACTCTCTCTCTCTTTGTCTTTGTCTCTTTCAGGAACACATACAGGAAGTGCTGGACAAATGGACGCAAATTGATGATGAGATCTGGGCCAAAGTAATTGTCTTTGAGCGCAATCGCCGTGTGGCCAAAGCCTATGCACGTGCTCCAGTGCTCACAATCAATGGCTCTGACGATGGCTTCGATGGCATGCGGTATGTATATGCATAGACAATGGCTTAAACAAAGCTGCTAAATGCAGCTTTTTTTCTGCTAAGAGTTAAAGTTTTATTGAACTCATTCAGCTAAAAAAAATGTTAAAATTTTTATAACAACACTTTTTAGTTTTAAAAGATTTTTTGTCCATATTCACCAGTCAATATTTGAGAAGCAAGCTTCAAATGTATATATAGTACTTATATTCCCGATCAGTTTCAACAGTTAAGTGCATCTAGTCTAGCTATCTCTCTGAATGTCTACGAGCAAGTTAGATAAGAGCTGGAGACGAGTTGATCTAGTCTTATACCCCAGTCTGTAATGTATAAGAGACATCTTAGGTAGTGCTCAGCTGGCTTTTATAAGAGTTTAAAACACATCTATATAGTCTCTATATATATAATTGCATATATAAGAGACTGACTAGCTAGTAGAATAACTAGAGACGAATCAATCTGCGCTTGGCTGTATAAATATATAGCTAGAGACTGGCTAACTAGTATAAGAGTTTAAAATGAATCGATCTAATGATAGCTGCATGAGACTAGAAAGGCTTGAGAGATATCTGGCATAAGATGCTATCTGAAATTGTACACATAAATCTACAAATCTATCTACTTCATTTGTAGATCAAATTTATTTTCAAATAAGCAATAATTTTTTTCATACCCTCTAAATCGATTAGTAATCATTTCAAATATGGCATATGTCTTATAATTTAAGAGCTCTACATTTTGTACATAGATTTTAATAGTAGCTTAGACGACTTCTTAGAACAATGAAAACTTTCCTTATATGCATTTTGAGGCTCATATTTATGGTTCAATAAGTTTGAAACCAGAATGCTTGCTAGGGTATCTCTTAGTCTGGCAGCTGCAACAAGCTCACTCTTACTTGTTTTTGAAATGCCTTCAGTTGATTGTTTTTCTTTGGCCTGTTTTTATAAGAGGCAGGGCAGTACCTTAATTACAAGCAGACCAACGAAAAAACATAACAATAAATATATGTATATATATATATATATATGTACCTATAAATATGCCATATATACAGCTATATATATCTGTGTAAGTCGGCAATTGCTGCCTTTGAACTTTTTGCGCAAAACATTTTGCAGCCGATTCGCCCTTGACCCACTCTCAGCAGGAGAAGCGCACTTTTTTTCTTTAGCAATTTGTTGTTATTGTTGTTGTTGCTGCTGTTTTTCTTGATAATAAATGATGAAATTACACCTGCTCCCAAATGAGCAATGAATGAAACTTTAGCGAGCCGCCGACGCCGACACCGCCGCAGCAACGCCCATTAAATTGAATGGCATAGGGTATTACAATTTAATTGCCAAGCTGAACTTGTCGAGGAGCTAGAAAAACAAAAGCTATAGAAGACAAAGATATACTATATATATATATATATATATATAAAGATTTGTCTATATATTAAGTATCGTATTTAAGACCAAACAAAAACCTTCAGCTATGCAAATTACGACATTTTTTATCTGTGACCTCACTTGCTGGCAGCAATTTGTAGCATGTGAAAATGCCCGAAAATAAAATGAGCGTCAACAACAACAACAACAGCAACAACAATAGCAGCAACAACAACAGGTGAAAATGTTTTAATAATTGCGCGTATTTTTGTATAAAATGAGCGATTTCCGTTTGCTGCCGCAATTTGAGCTATGAAGAATTCTAGTTTCTGGTTTTTGGTTGCAGTTGCTGCTGCTGTGGCTGTGGCTATGTCGCTGCTGCGGCTGCAGTTGAAGCTAATTAACATATTCCGTCTCAAAATGATTTCGTCGTTGCGTGCCAGAAATTGCAAATGCCAAACGCTTTTTGGCTCAATTGCTCTGGCAATTTTTTCTTATTTTTGCCCACACGCTGCAAAAGCACTTCGTTCAAATGTCAAGAAGTCTGCATAATGGAGTCGAGGTGCTTACAAGTATCTGTGTATCTCTATATATGCCTGTATATATACGTATATCTCGATATGAGCCAACGTCATGCATAATGCATTAGCCCATAAATGCGCTGATTAAAAAAGATCAGGCTGAAAAGCAATTCAAGTTCGTTGCTTAAAATGTAATCTGGGTAACAGCAGCAATAAAGGCAACAACAGCAACAAAAGTAACAGCAACAACCATATGAGCAGCAGGCGAGAGCCTGCAGTAACAGCAACAACAGCAACTGCAACAATAGCAATAACAACAGAAACAGCAGCACCAACAGCAACCCCATAAAATGCAACAACAAAAAAGCAGCAGCAGCAGCAGCAGCAGTCGTAACAGCGACAACAACAACAACAGCAGCAGCAATCTGGCAAGCAACAGCAACTGCAAAACAACAGCAGCAACAGGAGAAGCTACTGAAACGTCAACAGGAACAAATACAACAAGAGCAGCAGCAACAATTGGAGCAACAGGACCAACGGCAGCAACACCAAAAGCTACAACAGCAAAAGAAGTAGCAGGAACAGCAACAACAACCAGCAGCAATCCGGCAAGCAACAGCAGCAGTAGCAACTGAAATGAGCACAGCAGCAGCAACATCACCAACAACAACAGCAACGGCAGTAGCAGCAGCGGCAGCAGCAGCAACTGAAAGCTCAACATCAACAGAAACAACAGGGAATTGCAACAACAGCACCAGCAGCAAAAGCAATAACAACAACAACAGCACCAGCAGCAATAGCAATAGCAACAACAATAACGCCAGCAACCGCAGCAGCAACTTAAACGTCAGCAGCCCCAAAAAGGGCAATGCTGGGCGGCTTCCTTTGTAAACCACACAACAACAATGAAATGAAGATGCCGCCCGTAAAATGTCAACAGCAACAATAATACCTAATAATAATAACAGCAGCAACAGTAAGCAGCAACAGCAACCAGCAACATCAACAATAATCAGCCTGGCGCAATGAAATAAATAATAAATAAAATCAATTTACTGCTTGCAATCGTTGAAAGGGCTAAAAATGAACGACTAGCAGATACCACGTAGTTAGTAAGACTTAACTGACAAAAAAATACCCTATAGACAACAGAAAGTTAAGAGGTTAAACTAGTTCTACAAGAGGCAAACTAAAATATGATTGGCATAGAGATACCCTAGCTAACAAACTTCGATGAAGCAAATCTAGATGCTAGTTAAGTGTGCTTGACTAGCAGATACCTCGTAACTGATTAGATCTAGTACAGCTGTGCATTAAGAGTAGCTTAACCTGTTTCACTCAATGCAGCAATACCCTATAGACAACAGATATGGCTCTAAGCAAATGTGAAGATTGCCTGACTAGCACATACCTCGTAATTAGATAAGAGTAGCTCAACTTGGATTACTTAATACAAAAATAACCTATAAGCAGCAGCAAGATAACGCTAAAAGCAATCTCAACAACAGTGAGGAGTGCCTGACTAGCACATACCTCGTAACTACATCTAGCTGTTTATTAAAAGTACGCCTGTGAGAAATGATCAGCACAGAAATACTCTGTAAACAGCAAATAGACAATTCTTTAAAAATAAAAAATAAATAAAAAACCGACTTATAGATACCCTGTGATTTCCTTACCATCTGAAGCCTTAAAGAAATAATCTGTAAACAGCCAAAAAAAAAAGTTAAAAATAAAGCATGTAACAACTACCAGATACCCTGTACATGCATTCGCCTACTATTTACTGCAATTTTCAGCATACAGGGTATCACAAGTCAAATGAAATTGAAAATAATGAAGAAAGCAATTCGCTGCGGTCGTGACGAGGTCATCCATTGATGATCTCTGCAGATGCAAATTGCCGTTTGTCATTTGGCAGAGGCTGGGACTGAGCTTGTGGCTGAGGCAGCGGCTCCTCTTTCTAGCCATTTTTTCCTCAATATTTGCTTGTTTTTGCTGTTATTGCTGTTGTCATTTGCTGTTGGCTACTTGTTCATGTCAATTGCAGGTTAAATATGCCCCGCAATACAGAGAAAAAACTGATTTCGAGTCGAAAGTGTCAGGCTAATCAATTGGCAGCTTGCCGCCAACATCAAAGATAAAGATAGATTTTATATATGTGCGGTCTGCTGGGCCCTTTGTCTAAGCGCCCGCGACAGAACCTTGTACATTCATTAATTAGCTACAATTGCAGTTGCTGTCAGCCCTTGTTAGCATTTTCCTATTTCTTTTCTTTTTTCCGTTTTTGCTGTTTGTCAATTTAAAAATAGTCAGCGCATAGGGAATTTGAATGGCATTTAGATCTGTTTATCATATGCCCAGCGCACGCAACGTTTTTCCCTAGAAATCTGCTTGCAAATGCAAATGGAAAGCGAGTGCTGTACCTTAAACGGGGTCTGCCAGGCCATTCGAGCACTTTGACCGTGTCTAAATGTTGTTTAGATTTCATTTCGAATTGACAAGAAAAAATGTTAATTCCTTTTTATTAAGAATTTTCGTTAAACGCAAAACGTTTAGCATACCAAGTTTTAGCTATTTGAAACCTGTTTCGCTTATCGACTTTCACTTCAGACAACATAGCTTCCTGAACTATGTATGTTAATGCGTACTGAACGTGTTTACGCTTAGATTTGATTGTAATTGGTATAGCCACAAGCACAGAAGCTGCGCGCAGCTAGCAATTAAGTGTATGACGTGCAACATGTGGCAGCCAGAGGGCTTAACAAATTTCAGTTTCACTTGGCATTGGGGATCTTTAGCTATCATAGAGCAGCTGCTTAAAGAATCTTATGCACTGCAGATAAAACAGATTATTAGACGATGACGCACAACAATAACAAATTTAAGTACTATAGCTTACATCAAGCAGTAAGAAATAATTTACTCTTGAGCCTAGGGTATCTCAGTTTCGTCTTCAACATTCAGGCTCAGTTTAGCTCTTGGTTGCATGCGATGCGATTGGCAATTTTCACACCTGGCTGCCGCTGCTGCTGCTGCTGCTGCCGACATGTAAATTAATTAATTAGACGCTGTGTGGGCGATGCACACAGATGCTGAAGGACCACACAACTGCAGCGCAAGAGGCAGCAGCCAGCCGCAGGCCAGGGCAACAAGCGCATTTAATTAATGGGCAAACCCTTAAGCACACTCAGGGCCAGACCACTTACGTGTCTGCCCCATTATCTTTGTGCAACAATTGAAATGGCGCCAATATAAATTTTGCTGCTTATGACAGTTAGCAGCAACTGTGGCCGCTGTTGGACAATTGGCAGCTCGCAATTGCGTGGGCGTTGCCAATCAAAATTTGCATGTTTGCTGGCTGAAAAAAAATCCAAATCGAAATGGAAATCGAAAATCGCATAACAAGATCATAATACAACTGCCGCAGCGCGCGTTATAAACGGAGCATTCGATTGCAACATAGTTGCTCAGATTTGTTGTTTGTTCATTTCATTTCGTGCGAATTAAAAGTGAGGCAAAAAAAGGCGCGACTGGCGCCTGGCCAAGGCCACGATTTCATTTACAGCCAATTCAAAAGACAGTTTTAATCAACAATAGCAACCGGATAGAAGCGAACTGTGCCTTAGTTTTGATCTGAGCACACGTGCCACATTATTTATCTATTCTTGTCTGTTATATTTAGCTAAGAACCTGGTTAGTTGTAGCCTTCGCCGGTTTTAAGGTGCGTCGCACTGTTGTCAGCAAATAATTCAATTAATTGGATCAAATTGTAGCTCGCGTTCGTTGCCCAAGTCTTTTGTCTACTGAGATAAAATTAACAAGCAGAACTGTTCTAGGCGACAGTGCACGACTCGAAAATACTCTGAACTCTGCAAAAAGGGTTGCTTAGCTTCAAGTAGTTTCACAGCCCCACTTTATTATAGGCATTCTTAACCAACCTGGGAACGAGCTATGCGATCCTTATGAAATTTAGTGTTTATAAATATGGCAGCTGAACATTTGAGCTACAAGTTTTATTTTGCAACTTTTGGGGCAATGGTGCGAATTATTTAATTGTAAAAATATTAACAAAATAAATAATTAAGCTAAAATAATAACAAAGCTTCATACCACATTTGGTGTCTCTGGTTCTCTAAAAAAAAAAACAAATAGAAAAATTGACTTTGATAAATTTTAAGAAAATTGAAAGATATAGTCAAATATTACATATCTAGATAATGCTTAGGAAATCGATATGTTTATGCAATCAAAACATAGGCGGTTAGATATGTAGAGGCTTATATCCAAACGAACAGGCAGGCAGATAGAGAAGAAGACAGACAGACAATTAGACATCCATAGACAAGCATTGCTGTTTCGATTCGACAAGTCATTCTGATCAAGAATATATATGCAATAAGGCAAGAAGCACGCCTGCTTCTCACAGAATATTTAACAAAATCAAGAACACTGCTTTTACAGGGCATCTAAGTGCAACTACAGTACTGCATGGCCGTTACAATATGTTTAGCTACCTCGCGTTCGTTGCCTAAGTCTTTTGTTTATTGATTTAAATATTTGCACTAAAAAGCAACTGCACTAGCAGCTCGTTGCTGAGTTACAGTAAGCCGGGTATTATTTTTAGCGCGACCGGTTGCGATTGTCTCATTTTTAAGAGTCTCGCTTCTTTTTCGGTGCCTGTTTGCATGCTAAACTAGCCGTAGGTCAGTTTTGGAACCAGTTGCCGTTAACTTGCATTGTTGCTGTCGCTTCCTTGAAGAAGCAACTGCAACGACAACGGCAACTGGAAACAGCAGCCGCTGCTCGCTCTCCCCTCGTGCAAGGTTTGACCCACTGCACACGTTTAACTTGAACTCCAAAATTGTGGTGCTTCGCTTAAAAAAAACCCGCTACAGCGTGGACTCTCGCTTTCATTGGCAGCCGCAAAAATGCAAGACAAACAGTTGTTGCCTTTGTGCCTTTCGCATTTTTAGCTCATTTAGGCGTGTCAGGTCCAGTTTTTTTTTATACTGGACGACCTTGCAACCGATATGTATGCATATATATATAGTATACATTATATGCAATATGTGTATATAAAACTGGCTGTGGCCACATCGAAGTGAATGCAACCATGAATTGGTAACTGAATGTGTGTTGAATGATTGGCAGTGGGTTTGCCTGGTTCGGGGTTGGGCCGCAGTTGTGCTAAACTTATATTTCTTACGTATACCGGTTCATCTTTTGCTCTGGCAGACACCTTTAATAAGTCTAAAATTAAACAAAGCATTTAAGTATGAAAAAAGAAGCTAAAAACACACAAAAGAACTGCAAAATCCGCTTCGTTTAGGGGCAACCTTGAAAGGCATACATCAGCTAACAGCAGCGGCTGCGGCAGCGGCAACAGCTACAGCAGCAACAGTCCATGTCGATTTCATTTCATGGAAAACTTTGACACACATTTCAACGGTTTTTACAAGCGTTTAGCCAATAAATCAACGCCAAGCAGCCGCCGTTGGCAGATGTTATACGCAGAACTAAGGCACATGGCCAAATGCCAACAGCAATCGCTGCTGCCAGCAATAGTTGCTGCTGCCTGTTCTTCTTCTAGGCAGCGCTTCATTATACAAATTAACATAAAACATAATAGTGACAGCAAGTGAGCAGCGACAGGAGCAGTGCAGATAACAACAACAATGAACGGCAGCAACAGTTGCTGCCAGCCGCAAACGACAACGATTACAATTAGCTTCGTTTTCATTGTATGGCGCGGCTTCCTCTGCAGCATCTAGTTAGCATTTTTGGCCGACATTTGAGACGACCTTAAGCAACAGCCAAGAGCTCTTCCTGCAGCTACGGCACAAGTAGAAAATAGCTTGACAGTAGCTTATTTTTAAGCAAGGCCAAAACAAAAGACTTAGACAACAAACTTAAAGCATATGTCAGACTGCATTAAGATGAGCTAAAAAACTATATGAAATGGTTATTTTATATCAATTAATATGCAGCTAAGGGCTTCCTGGGCTTATTTTACTTTTAGCAGGCACAAGACAAAAGACTTAGACAGCAAACTTGGTCGAAACAATAAAAAATAATTAAATGTTTATAAATAATAAAGTTAAATGCTCTACCTGCAGCTGTATATGAAATTAAACATGGTTTGAGAGGGTTTTTTAAGCAAGGCAAGACAAAAGACTCAGGCAAGAAACTTGGTCAGCCAATTTAGATGACTAAAACATATATGAGAAGTAGCTCTTAGCTAAGCCTTTCAGACAGAAGTAGAAAATTCTTAGTAATAATATTAGCAGAAAAACAAAAGACTTAGGCAACGAACTTGGTCGAAATTGTCAAAAAATAAATAAAACGTTTTTAGTATTCATTTATATGTTCTTACTGCACCAGAAGTTGAACATAGATTGAGTGTATATTTTTAAGCAAGGCTAAAACCAAAGACTTAGGCAACAAACTTGCCAAAAAATATATAAGTTCATATGAGTCAGCTTGCAATTAAAAACTGGAAGACAAAATATGATATGTTTTTGTTATAAATTCATATGCAGCTGCCACACACATACACACATGTTGCAACAAGCGCATAAATCACTGTCAATGCGAATTTGTGGCAGGCGAATGCACAGTTATGTTGCTGTTGTTAACTGGGGTGGTGCTGTTGTTGTAGCAGTCGTTGCTGCCGCTGCTGCTGCTGCTTGTTGCCCCTGTTTTGTCAAACGTTTAATGCAACAAAATGGTGCAGCAGGCCAAGTGAGTCATGCTGGCCAAAAAAGTGAACGTACCCCCAAAACTTTGTTGACTTAGAGCCGAGGCTTTTATTTATTTTGCGTTTGATTGATTTGCAATTAATCAAATAATTAATTGACTCTATATACATATCTACACTCACATTCATATATATATATATATATATATATATTTATATAAATATATTTAACTGTATTTCAGCATTGGGCTGTGCGGCTTTGACAATCCGATGCGGGATCAGAAGACGGACGAAATGAAGCGCGTCATCGGGCAGGTAAGCAAGCGTGCTTCATTTGTATTTGTTGTTCTCTTGTTGTTTATGGCTCATTAAAGTGAGCGACACAATTTCCACACTCTGCCCTCACCCCCCTGCCAAAAAGTATTTGCATAAAAACTGATAACGATTACAAGAAACTGCCATTAACAGTATAAAAAAGATACAAAAAGTCAAAGTACAGCTAAATTTTATATATTTATTTTGAACACCTGTAGGGCGTCAAGATCAAAATGGATGATGCTGGCAATATACTCGTGCGTCGCTATGCGAAGAGCAACGTATTTGTTAAGAGCACCGCCAGCACTCCCAACGAGGAGACCTCCATTGGTGCCGAAATCTTAAAGCTGCCAAATCAGGCGCTCGAAAGCGAAAAAATAGTCAAGGCAAGTCTATATAGCAAATCGTTTGTGCATATATATATATATGTATATAGCGAGGAGTAGTTAGTAGCATATGCAAATTGTTGTATTGTTAACTAATTTCTGTTTTCTTGTCGCCTGACAGCTGTTCGATATGAAGAAGTTCCAGTCGAACGTGAATCGTGAATTGCGTCGTGCCTATCCAGATCGTCGACGCTTGGAAACGCAATGCCTATCGGCAGTGGCCTTTGTCAAATCGGAGAATGACATTTTGGAGTGCCCCATTTGGGTGCTCATTGTGAATGTGGTAGCCATGGATATGCTAAAGAGCAAATTGCCGCCAGGTGAGTCGAGTTGCGAGAAGGCATACATATACACATATATATATATATTTATATATATGCATTATATATGTGTGCATGTCGCTCAGTGAGCTATTGTTAAGCTCAGGGTTATTAAAGAACTAAAGCGTAGAGATATTGACTGACATATAGTATATATATGTATAGATAGATATATAGATAAATTAAAGCATTTCAATCTGCATGCTTTTGCTCTTATACTTTAAATAAAAAATATAAATTTTTGAAAGTTTTTTGGAAAAAATAAGTAAAACACATAAAAAACTAGATCTTTTCAATATTAATTAAAAATTCTCACTTTCATAATCTTGACACATCACTAGCTCTATATATTTCCATTCTATAGGCTTTCATGCTGAACATCTTAAGTTATATTTTCTGCCATTATCTGTGGCTCTATATATAGCGTAAGCTCGTCAAGGCTGCACATTAGCAGATAGTTAAGAGTGCGGCTCCACAGCTTCTATTGTCTCATCTGTGTGTGAGAGAGATAGGGAGAGTGCGCGTGTGTTGTGCGTATTGTAAGTCCAATTGCCTGGCAGTTATTGATTTATTGGCAGCAACAATTGTGAATAGCAGCGCTGGCTGACATATGCAACTACAGCATCTACTTCATGTTCTACTTCATCTTCTTCGTTCACAGTGCAACGTCCCATTGTGGATATAAAGAATCGGCCGCGCATACCCATACCCGACGAGGATCCCTACAGCGTGGCCGGCAATGGCAGCAACGGCAGCTCGGGCAGCTCTGGCTTTGGCAGCGCCCACCAGCAACAGCTGCAGCAGCAGCAACTGCAACAGCAGCAACTGGGCAAGCATTTGAATAATGGCAGCAGCAATGGACATGTGGCTGCCACACGTGAGCAACTGTTGCTGCAGACGCAACAATTGGCGCACAAGCGCAGCGAGAAGCCGCCCAAATTGCCGCCCAGAGATAATGTCTATGCGCACGATCTAATTCCAAAGGTGAGAGACAACAATTAGCAGCAACAGCAGCAGCAACCAAAGTTTGTTGCTCAAGTGTTTTGTAGCCTAGGTGTTGGAACAATTGTTGCAAGCGCGTAATAAACAACAAATTTAAAGAAAAAAAAGTAAAAATATAAGCACAAAAATATATATATATATATATATATATATATATAGGTATATAATATGAGCAAGAAGTGTGGCAACTAGTTCAGCAACAACAACAACAACAGCAGCAGCGTCGAACGGCCTGGCTATGCTTGGCTACGTGCGCACTTGCAAAATGGTTTACGGCTCGGGTCTCTGGGTTTTTCTTTAAGCCCTCAAAAAAAAAAAGAGAAATAATATAGAAATACCAGGCCAGTTTTGGAGCTCGTTGAGCTTCACCAAGCATTTGGCTTGCATTCAATAATATTCGAATTTCAACAACAACACAACATAACTGCAAACGAATCGCGTGTAATTAATATGCACGGAATGTTGCCAATGGGCCCAACGACCGTTGGCTATAAATGTCTGCACACACAGTTATGGCTAACTGTACAGTGCGAGAGGGAGAGGGAGAGCGAGAGGGCGAGACAGTGGCTATATATGTAACTATCTGCAGCGCCTTTGGCTTTGGCGCACCTTGCGCAAAAACCAGCGCGTTCGTTGCCTAAGTCATTTGTTTAGCTTTTTTTGTGTGTTCCAAAATTTAAACAATTTAACAGAATAGATACACAGCAATTGTTATTTGGTAATAACTACGATTAAGATATGGCAATTGAACAATGAATGTGTTGCTGATAAAATCGTATGTATATAAATATATATGTATATAAATATATATATATATATATATATATATATTATATATATATATATATTATATTTAATATATATATAATTATACACGACTGCTAAAAATTGAATTTTGTAGCTATCGAATCTGTTATCTATTTATATACTTTCAAGTTTGTTGCCAAGTCTTTTATATTTAGCAGAAACTCAGCAAATAAGTTTTAGTGATTTTATATATATTAAATTTAATATGTAGCTGAAACATATATTTTTCGAAAGTAAATATATATAAAAAAATTTAAAAAAATAATAATAATAAAATATATAAAAATTTTCTGTTTCCCTCCAAACCGCCTACACAGCCGGACTACGATGACATTGACTTGGAGTCCCGCATCAAATTGTCACGCGGCAAATCTGACAAAGGCAAGGACAACAAGAAATATGGTAAGTCGCCACTAAGCCACATTCCTAGTCTAAGCAAACAGCAGTTAAAATGGCCTTCTTTACATAGATGATCCCTATTACTGTGGCTTGCGTGCACGCGTGCCGAACTTTGTGAAATCTTCCAAGTCCAGCTCGAAGGATCAGCGTGACGGCAATGGCAACAACATCATCATCAACAACAACACAAGCAACAGCAATGCCAACAGCAATGGCAATGGCAACGGCAACGGCATGAGCACGCTCAGCCAGAAGAAGACATCGATGATACACAACAATCATTTGGCTGGCATGCATCCGCACGCGCTGCACTTGCAGCAGCAGCAGCAGCAGCAACAATTGATGGCAGCAGCAGCAGCAGCGGCAGCACATGCCGTGCATCATCAGCAGCCAGCTAGCCATCATCATCCGCATCAGATTTGGCAGACGCGCAGCTATGAGAGTGGCATAGGTATTTATAATAAACTGAGCGGCTATCAACAACAACAACAACAACAACACATTACGCATGCACAACCACAATCACTGCCAACGGACTTAACAGCAACAACTGCAACAGTAACAAACAAGACACAAATCAGCGCCTTAGCGCCGACTGTTAAACACCAACAGCACCACCAGCACCACAAAGCACCAACACGTAGCAATCAGCAACACCAACAGCAACAGCAACAGCAACCGCATCTGCATTCACACACGCATTCGCATCCACATGAACATCAGCATCATCGTCATCAGCATCGTCATTGCCATCGCTCACACCACCAGCCACAGCAGCAGCAGCAGCAACAGTTGCAGGCAGCGCATCAGTCGCGCAAAGCCAGCTACTACCCTAGTCAGTACTATGATGATCTGGAGGCTGTGGCTGTGCGGCAGGGTGCACGTCGTCCTTCCATGCGACGCACGCAGCTGCCCTTGGAGACCAGCTGCAATTGTGTTAGCTGCTATGCTTTGGCACCACTGTGCGGTCAGGTGCCGGCACCGCGGCCGCAGCGCAGTCTCAGCCAGCAGCAGCTGCGACGGCATCAGCGTCTCAGCGGCGGGTTGATAGACAAGCGAGTGGGCGTGGCCAAGTGGTGCAGCGAGAGCGACATTTCAGTGCTGGAACAGGTGCAGGAACAGGACGACGAGCCGACCACATTGACCAACGATGACAGCTACGATTACGATGACTTCGACCTGGACGACTTTGACATTGACGAACCGATGCCGATGCGAAGCCAGCAACAACGGCACCGGCATCAGCACCAGCAAAACCACCAGCAGCAACACAGCAATGAAGAGACCGATCCCTACGTGGATCGTGCACAGCTGCGACAGCTGGCGGCGCCGGCGCTGCTTGCGGCCCGGCAGAAATCCCAGTCGACCGAAAGTTTCTTTGAGCAGCCCAACGAGGAGGGCTCACTGTACATGTACGGTGGACGGCACCGCATAGTGGCCAAACCGCCAGCCATGGTGAACCTCTATGAGCGTGTGCCAACGGATCTGAGCTATAAGCGAACGCAATATTACAATAAGCCCAACCTGCCAGCGCCCAGTTGGCGGGGCAAACAACGTCAGCAGCCGCAACAAAAAGCTGACAAAAAACTATATGACAATACGAACAGCAAAAACAACAACAACAACAACAATAACAACAAGCGACAGATAACGAACAACAGCAGCAGCAACAGCAAAAACAAAGATGACAACAACAATAATTTCAATAGTAAAAACAAAAGTATAACAGCAAAGACTTTAGCAACAGCAACAACTGTGACTGCAACAGCAGCAACAACAGCAACAACCGCAGCAGCAGCAACAGCAACAGCAGCAATAACAACAACAACAACAGCAGCAGCAGCAGCAACTGCTGCAACAATTACAAACAATGCACAAAGAACGGGTCGCACTGCCAGCCGCCTTGACATCAGCGACATGGAATCCATTTATGGCTACCTAAAGCCGCGCAAGCCGCGCAGCCTCAGTCTCAAGAAAATTCAAATACTTGACTATTGAGACACACAGAGAGAGAGAGAGAGAGAGGTTATTTTACAGCATTTAGTTTGGGTTTCTTTAAATCTAGATATGCGCTGTATATATATATACCAATGCCTTTACACCTTACCTGGCTATAGCTAAACACCTGTACTGAAATTGTTTTTTGAAAATATACTAACTTTACTTTAAGACTTGGACCCTGGACGGCAAACAGTTTACTTTGTACATATTACAATCATATCATGCACAATTATATATACTGCTTCTCCTATATATGTTCTCCATATATATATAGATAGATCTTTGCTAATGTCACTTTATTGCTTCTTGTAGATTCGGAACTTGTCGAATCACCTTATAATCACATCTATGGACGCCATTTACCGCTGCCAACACGCGGCTATGTGCCCACACCACGCATGTTTATTGGGGAATGGGACTGAGAGCGGAGAAGATGAGCTCTATACATATATATATACACCAATATATACCTATATATATATATATTTAATAAATACATGTATCAACTGCTTCACACAATTCACGCACAAAAAAGTTTAAATTAACTAAAATCAAAATTTATTTTGCCAACAGAAAAGAAAATTAAATTTTAAGTCAGTGAAAGCATTGCAAAAATGTTCAGTAATTAATTAATTTAGCAAAATATTATGTTAAAAATATCTAAAAAAAAAAAACAATAATATTAGGCTAGACTTAAATGTATATCACACAAAATATAATGTAAAAAAAAAATAAATTAATATAAAAAAAAAATATATATATATATATAAAAATATATATATAGCTGCGCATATGTTTAGATTTTTTTCAAATATTGAGATTACAAAAACGCGCTCTATACATGAAAATATATATTAATATATACCAATATATATATCTATATATATTTTTATAAAATTCTTAATATATGTATCTTTAAATTTGACTATATACGCCATTTAATTTGTATAGTTTTTAATTATTTTCTGTGTTTGTGAATTGAATGCGTTTTCCCGTCTTCACAAATCAAGTTTATGTCTTACTTCACATATATGTATATGTATATTAACGTATATATGCAAAAATCATATACATATTTCAAATCGTATACATATTTTTTGAATAAATGTTTAGGCTGAATTTCTATATTGTATGTGAGCATAAAAAACAGCAATAATAAAGATATATAATATAAAATTTAGTAATAATAAAATAGATTTTATTCTATTTGTTTTCTATCAATTGAATTTCTTATTATTTCTGAAATATCTCCAATTCATTTAAACTAGTGATTTAATAGGCCGAACATTTCAATGGGTCGGTTATATATATTTTACATATATATATAGATATATAATTTCACATGTAGTAATCGGGATTCCAATTTGGCGGACGCATATGATCTGGATTTGGACCCATTGCACCAGGGTTACGAGGATTCCATGGATTGATCGGATCAAAGCGTGCCAAGCCCGGATTTCCGGGAAACGGATATAAATTACCAGAGCCCCTACCCAATGGATCCAAATCTCCGCGACCAATATCTGGGAAACCAAATGGCCGCGGCTCAAAACCATGCGGCATATACGAACTAAAATTGCATTAACCACTTAGAGATTAGCTGATAGAAAAAGTAGAACATCGACTTACCCCGGACGTCTAGGCTCACCAATGCGCAAAGGATCTGCTGTTGATGCCGGTGTTGTTTGATTGGTGATCTGTGTTTGTGTTGTTGCCTCTCGTGAATTTCCAGTGAATACCTTAAGAAATCACTTATTACTATGGAAATATGTTTATGTGTATATATGCTTTGATCAAACCGGATCACACAGCTCCTTGCGAAAACGTTCAACAATATCCGTTACAGTTGGCATAATTTTTGTTATGCCACCTTTGACGTGATCAACCAAAGTTTCGGGTGTAATGCATATATTGGACACAGTCTTAGTATTAATATCCAATAGATTGACAATCAAAGCATCTTCGGTAATATGACCGAGCAGCAGATAGAGCACTTTATTATGCACATATCTCAATGAGTACTTTGTATTATCGCCATTCCAGTGATCTGGCAGTAATTCGGTACCGACCTCGTCTTCGGGAAGAGTTTTCTAGAAAAAAAAGTATTTATATATAACAGTATATACAATTCAATTACATTTCTACCAATCGAATAAATACTCACGTCATCTCCAATACCAACGCAACGGAATTTGTAATGCTTAGTCAGCAGAAAATGAACAAGCACTATTAGAATATCTGACTTTTTATCAATTTTCCCTTCTACAGTTTTGAATAATAAATCCCAGCCGTATAAGAAGTCTGAATTCAATTGCTCAAATCCTGGCCTGGATGTTGCAGGCTCCATTGTTAGTCTTTTGTTGTGAATGACTGTATATATTGTTAAAGGATTGACGACAAAATATCAGTTTGAAACATGTTTCACAGGTACACACTAGCCTAATTTCGAAAATCAGCCAAATAAACAAATAAATTATAAGACAGAAAATGCAGTGCAATCCAGAACAATCATTTATATCGCACTTTGGCGGTAACAATGTTATCGATTAATCGAACAAATTAAAGCTGTTTTGACTGGATGCAGTCGTGCTGATATTTCAAAACACAGCTTCGCAACGTAGTTTTACATGTGTTTATGAAATAAATAAAATATATATTTGTTTTTTTTTTTCAGAATATCAAATATTGACATACAATTATTAACAACTATTGAGATTTAAGCTTGCATCTTGAAAAGGCATTCAGTGGAAACTTAAATATATGCGAACAAAAACAACGGCAGCAGAAGCTACAGCAGTGAACAATGACATAGCACAAACAGATATCTATTACAATGGAAATTATACATAGGAACATATATATATATATATAAATATATATCTATATAATATATAATATATAATATATATATATATATATATATATATATATATATATATATATATATATATATATATGTATATAAATATATATATACATGTATAACTTGCATTAACCAAAACAATTAATAGCTAAAACTCAATAGCAGTATTTCAAAATTTGATCCAACTACCTTGTTAAATCATTGAACGTTTTGATATCCAGCAACCAAATATTTCAATTTTATATATGCACAGTTCTCTCCAAAAATAAAAGCGGCTTTACCTCTGTAACACTCAAAATAATACACAATGTATAATATTCAGCTTTGTTGCAGGGTTGCATTTGAGTAGAAGTGTTGAAAAACGTGTATTTTAGGCGTTTGTTTTAATTGAAGTTTTAAAAATATATTCAAATAAATATTCATTTGTAGTTAATTATCTTTCCTATTTTGCAGCTTTCACATACATCATCTAAAATGCATAGAAATTATGAGGCCTTACGGTTGTTCAACTTCTCATTTATGTTCGTGTCTTAACGTACATTCCATAAGTGCGAAAGAGACTACCAGCTGCAAACAGTATTGCCAAGTATACCAAATTTAATCAAATTCACTAAAATCTCTACAAATAATTGGAAAATTATATACGATATTAATGCTTAAGCAATTACAATTCAAATTCTATCCACTGTAGCTTAAAGGAGCTACTAGATCGAGAATAATAGATGTTTACTAGATGCGATCGCTGGTTGGGATTGGAATTAAATACAGATTCTGGATTAAGATTTAGTATGGAAAATATTTATTTTGTTAAACTATTTTTGGAGACTGTTTGACTGTATTTAATGTGAATGTTTAACCAGTTTCATCAAAAAATATCGGCTCCAGAGTCTAGGTAAAACTTGTTATGTATACTTCGTGATTGGACTCGGGTAACCCGAACACCCGAGGCGGCTGCCATATTGAAAACGATATACTACAGCGGCAGTCGCGTGAAAACTCATTTCTATGCTGTCAGCCAAGTCAATGGAATTAATATAATATAAAAATTAAATCAAATTTTGCAATACCAAGATCATTTTAACGCTTTTGCCGCCATTGTGTATGTGTGTATGTGGCTGTGCATGTGTGCGCGCGTATGTAGGCATGCGTTGGTATTAGTATTACTTATTATTGCAAAAAAAATAAATACGCGCCGAATTGTTGTTCCAGCATAATACATTACTTTAGCAGTGTGCGTGTGTGTGTTAGTGTTAGATAGTGCAGAAGTAAGATATTTCTTGTTTTCGAATCCACGTGTGGGCTAGTGTCTCGATTTTGCAGCCGGCAAAACAACTATCATGGCCAGCACGCCCGGCACGGAGCCTGCGCTGACGGTCGCAACGCCAGCGACGCCTTCGCCTTCACTCAAAGCGTTCGATTTTGACTTTACGGGTAAGCGGCAAAATTCCCTTTCCTTAGGTCAACTACCCCCACCCCAAACCCTCCTTTCCTGCTCCTTTGTACCTTCATACCTTTGTCTAATGCGTTTGTTGTCTAGGCTCAAACTATGAAATGGACGCGAGCGTTTCGGAGGAGGAACGTCGCTTTTATATAAAAATGTATCCCACTGTGGATGTGGTCAATCAACGTAAAGTTCATTGCACCGTTTGCCGTATGCACATTGGCACAGCAGTCAGCACGGAAAATAACATTAAAATGCATCCCATACTGCGTGTGACGCACTGCATCAAATGCCATGATTTTTACAACAGCGGCGAATTTTCGAAGGGTGAAGATGGCTCGGAACTTTATTGCCGTTGGTGCGGCCAAGGCGGCGAGGTATACTGCTGCTCCACCTGCCCATATGTGTTCTGCAAGTCGTGCATTATCAAGAATTTGTCAAGAGGCGTCATCGTGGACATAGAGCAGAATGAGAATTGGAATTGCTTCAAGTGCACATCGAAAATCCTTTGGCCACTGCGCGCTCAACACTGGGCGCTGGTTAATTACATACAGACTCAGAAGAAGTAAGTGTTGGACTTCGGACATGTCAATGAAAGGACTAATGATTCCTCTTTTTTAGCGGCCTTCAATCCCTGCAGCTATCCGAATCGGAAATGCGCCGGCAAACTCACAAGGACTACAGTACGTGTTGTCGCCTGGCCAAGGCGAAGGTAAATAGCTTGTCGGACTCCATGGAGAGCTTGGAATCCAATACTTCCAAACGTAGTCATGCCAGCTCTGTACATTCGGGCAAGAAATCAGCCAAGCCACAGGGTCCGCCGGCTAAGCGTCCAAAGTCCTCAAATGACGATATTGTCTGTACGCCCGATTTGCTCAGCATGCTGGAACCGGATTGCCAAATATCAGTGACACAAAAACCGGGTCCTCGTTCGAGTGCAACACCTGCTACCAGCGTCACAACGACGCCGCGCATTGTAACCGTGCAACAGAATTACACTGGACCACGGCCTAGTACTAATGGAAGCTCAACTGCGGGTCCTCGAAGCAGTTTACCACCTCCACTTGTGTTGAGCAGCTCAGGCATGCGTTATCGTCAATCCACGCCCAGTCAATCCGCTGTGGTGCGACGCACAGTGGTGCCAAACGCCATACGCTCAGCGGGCCCTGTTTTTCATACCATAAATGGCTTTCGTGTCGATCTCAATAGTGCAGCGCAACAGGACTCCTACCGCCTTCCCAACGGGCGGCTCATACAGGTAAGCTTATACTCTGAAAATCTTGAAATCTAATTAGATATTAATTTGACAAATTCTTTCAGGTCAAGCGCCAATTACCACCTGGCCAGGCATCGACAACGATAACGCGTGCGCCCGTTCCATTGACTCCCCAGGTCATTATAAGGCAACAGCAGCCAACTGGACAAACTGCACGCATGCTGCATCCTAGCTTTGGCTCCAACATGGGCATCTATAATCCACAGACTAATCAACAGCAACGTGCACCACAAGTGGTGCGCGTCAACAATGGCAGCCAAATGCATGCAATGAACATTGCCTCCCAATCAGCAACTGCCAGCAGTAGCAACAGCAGCAATGGTGGAGGAGGAGGCGGCACCACCATTATGATGACTCCCGCATCTGTGGCCAAAGCGCCAACATTAGTGCGTCACGTCTTCTCCACATCGCCCCTGGGCGCAGCGCGTACTCAGCTGCAAAACCAAATATTTAGTGCCATGGAGATTTGTACGCATCTAACGGGCAAGGTGCAAACGTTGACCCTATCAAATGCATACAACGAAGCGCGCAGCCATATGGATGTCAAGGAGCTCTATATACATCTATCCTATCTAATGACCTATGCAATAGGACGCTTTAAACAGTTACAGGATAAATGCTTGCTCGATATGCGTGAAATGGGCTTCAAGAATGATGCCAACAGCTTGGAGAATGGACAACTGGCAGCAGGTAAGACGCTAAAATATATAACATAAAATGTTAATAATATTAACAAGTTATGAAATTTAAGTTAATATAATGAAACTGTTTTATATTTTGTTACATTGTAACTTTAGACTCTATAAATTAGATAATAGTTCTCAATCTCCACAGGCATTCGGCAATACCTTATAGTATAAGATTTAGTATAGTATATAGTATATGTTATGTATCAAGTTCCTGCTGCCGGTTCGCAGGCTGCGGTTAGCCCATACGAAGTAGAAGTCTCTTCTTTCTTTTTAAAAATAAGTGTACATTGTCTTTTGTGAATATTTGAACACATGGACGGGTGTTGCTCAACAATATATGTATATATATATTTATATGTTGTATATTATGCTATATATATTCATATATAGATCTATGAATTATACTTTGGTTCAGCCAGCATGTAAGTATGTTTTGTTGTGTTGTATGAAAAACTCTGCGAGTTCCATTTCCTTGGCTCCATTTAAATTCAATTTGATTTTAAGCTCTTGGTCCATGTGTTTGTAAAATATCCAACTAAAAGGCAATGGAATCGAATTCAGCAGCAGTTTTTCGCTTTAGCTTTAACGATGTTCTCTCTCACCTCTTTGGCATAATTGCAGCCGTGGATTATGTTTGCTATGGCCAGCTGGATGATGTGGATCTGTTTAATACGGGCTGCAATAGCTTTCACAATCAGGTCTACGAATATCGCAAGAGCTTGCATGCAAACCTGAAAGATGGCGAGAGCCTGGATCCATTGCCACCGCTAATGCCGCTAGGCGTGCGCGCTGAAGGTGATCCCAAGGATGAGGTTGAGGAAGAGGCTCGTGAGGCAGCTGTTGACACGGCGGATAACGAGAATGATGATGGCTATGACTATGACGATGACTATCAGGATGATGATGCGGAAGATGGCGATGATGTCGATGATTTGAACGATGAGTACGATGCACTCGGCACCGAAGAGAGCATGAATCGTAATGAGCAGGAGCATGCATATGATCGCAAGCTAACTAGGCTGCTCAGGGAATATCCTTCCATTTGGTGCACTCGACATCCGGACTATGGCAAAATGGTGGTGACACGCAAACAGTGGCGCGTCATAGCCAGCCACTTTCCACGTGGCGATGACATTAAGCTACGCTGGAAGAATGTACGCAAACGTTATGTGCGTATCGAAAGATTGCTAAAGCAAGGCAAGCGGTTTAAGGGCTATTTTGATAAGGCCACCAACTATTTGGCCAACAGGGATTTGCCGCCCAGCGAATGGCAATCGGTGGATTGTGGTGAAGGCGATGGCGATGGCTATGAGCGCAAGCAACTGGATGCCATTGAGAATACCATCAATAAGGAGCAACAAGAGTCCGTCAAAGCGACGCCTCGTTTGACTGTGCGCCCGCTGGAAGTTCGACCGATTGACATGCGAATCATTAACTTTGCCAAGAGTCACCCCGTACTGTGGCGTAAGTCCGCAGATCCCGAATTCAATAGCATAGACGAACAAACACGCAAATCGCTATGGCTAAACTTTTGGAAATCTACGCCCCGTAAGTGCTCCAGCCATAAATCCTTAAAAAAAAAAAAAAATTAACTGCTTCTCTTTGCAGACTATCGCTGTGAATACATTGTGGAACGTTGGCAACAGATGTACGAAATGTACAAGTCCTTCCGACTGAAAACCATCAAGAACAAACACACATTTGCCAAACTGGAGCTGAAATACTCCAAGTATTTGGCCAACTTGTATTTCTTGTATAAAATTGATGAACAGGATTTGCGTGATGAATTCGAGCCGTTGCAAGATTACGCAACAAATGGTGGCGTCTCCAGGAGTAAAGCTGGCAAGCTAAAGGATATGCCGGATGATAAACAGTTTGTGCAGCAGCTGGTATTGGCTATGCGTGCCTATCCCACTCTGTGGAATCCGCGGCATGTGGATTATAACGATGTGGCTGCACGAGAACGTCTGTGGGCGGAGTTGGCGAGGCGTTTGCCACGCTTTCGGCGCGATGCACGCACCTGCAAAATGCGCTGGCAAATGGCAAAGTTTGCCTATGAATGCTATTGCCGAGAGATGGAACGCCAACCCAGACCCAAGGAGAAAACGCTGCAAAAGCTTCTCACAAATTTTCCACTCGAAGAAATGCGGTTTCTTAATATCTAAGCTACGAATTTCCTAGGTTAACTAGACTAAGTTAAATTATGCCAAACTTCCGAACATTCTAAGCTTCTATATAAATAATATAGACCTATTAAAATCTTTTTAATGCGGATACTCTACTGTATATTTAATTTAATAAAAATATTTGAAATATTAGATTACTAATCGATTGCCCAACTCTTTGCAGAGAAACAAGCCAGCGACGATGAAGATAACGAAATTGAGATTGTGGAGCCGAAAACGGATACGATTACCATTGATTCGGATAACGAGGAGGAGTTGCCTTCCGTCTCAAAGGTCAGTCTGCCCAAGGGCTTGCAGATCACCTCCGTTAAATCGACTGCACCTGACGCGGAAATAAATAAAAGTGATCCAGTTACTGCAAATACAGATCAAAATATGGATATCGATGTGGCGGCCTTTAGCTCATCTATTTTGGCCAGTCTGCTGGAAGTGGACATTACCGAGGGCGCCGGTGAGGTCAAGACCAATCAACCTACCTCACCTGGCGGCACTTTGCAGAAGAAGCAACCTCGAAAGAAGACGACGAACAAACCAAATCCTGCACTGCTACAGCTGGAGCGACAGCGCATGGAGGAGATGAAGAGCAACGATTCCAAGCTCAAAATGAAGCCAATTGTTAAGCTGATACGTGCTGAGGAAGAGTTTGAGGTGGCGCGCAAATGGATGGACGAACATGGTCAGAATCTCAGCAAGGAGCAGGAAGAGAGTGGGGCTGATGAAAAGCTCAAAGCAAAATGCAAAGAAAAGGCTGAGGATGAAACCGACAGCAAAGCAGAAGCAAGTGATATAAATAAGGAAGATGCTAACGAGGAAGATGCTAAGGAGCAGAAGCATCCAGAAGAGGACTTACAGGAGAAGCTTGGTGAAGACGAGCAGCTTGAGCAAATGGACACAACCGAAACTGAATCGCAAGCAGATGAAGCAAAGCAAAGCGAAGAAGATTTAGATAAAACTGAAAATAAGTGTGAAAAAGATAAAAACACTGCAGATAATGAAAATGCAGCTGATGTAGAAGAAAGTGAAGAAACCCTAAAAAATCAAAATGTAGAAATAGCTGAGGCTATGGAAAAAGATACAGAAGCTGTGCCCAATGAAGAATCCAAAAAAGAAACCATGGAAAATAATGAAAAACCGAGTAAGGAAAACAAAAAAGGAGATAAAAATGGAAATGAACAGGAAAATGAAGTGGAACCTCTAACTACAATAAAGGATGAGCCTGCAGATGATAAAGTTGATGCAGACGATAAGAAAAGTGAAAGTGAAATTGAAAAAGAGCTTGACAAGGACAAGAAAGATAAAGAGAAGAAAGACGATGCTGCAGCTTCCGAATCAGAACAGGATAGAAAAACAGAAAACAATGCCAACAAAGAAAAGCAGGATGATGCAGTTGCAGTTGCTGTGACTAAAAAGGGAGATGAAAGTGAAAAGGGAGACGATGCAGCAGCTGCCGAAACTGAGCTCTCTACAGAGGAAGCTGCTGACAAGACTGAAGCTCAAACAAACGATGACAATACAGACGCAAAAGCTGCAGACAAAGAGAAAAATGATGCTGATGCAACTGCAGTCACAAAGAGCACCTCACAGACAGATGCAACGGTTGCAGCAGAGCAGGAAGCTGCAGAAACTCCTAAAAGCAACAGTCCAGCTAAGGAAAGCAACAAGGAGGATGATGAGGATCAGCTGGATCCACCATTAGGGCTGCAATATGATTGCAGCTCTAGTTTAGACTAAACAAGAATCTGCCAGATGCTTATAACATTGAAATGCTATAATTAAATATATAATTTAAATTTAAATTTAAATTCTAGGCTCGAATGTAGTTTGTTATTATAGTTTTTAGTACTATATTTTTGCCTAACATAAGAATAATCTGTAAACAACTGAAAACAAAAACAAAATCATTTTGTAAGTCTAGCTCTAAGTGTATCAAGCATTTAGTTTTATAAACTATATTTGTTTTTGTTTTCGAAAAACATGAAGATCCAAAAATTAAAAAAACCCAATTTAACAAATTATCAACTACTTTAGTAATAAAAAAGTATTTGCATATGATAGAAAAAACTGTTTTTTTTTGTTTGATATAAATATAAAATAAAATTGATGGAAATATTTTAGGCGTAATTATGAGCAGTTCCAAAAAAATAAAAACTATATTTTATTTTTTAATTTTGTATTTTTTTTTTAAATTAGCTGCACAATAGATTGAACAAATTGGTGCAAGTAAATAATTTCAATAATATAAATAAGGGATAAAAGTATTTAAATTTTTATAAATAATACGTTTGGCAATTTTTCTAACTGCCCTCGTGTACAAAAAGTGCAAGCCATGCGGGAGTAGTTCAAAACATTTGCGATGAACAATTTTAAAATTATTTTTATAATTTACAATGTTTTTATTTTAAATAATATTACTTTATATTTCAAGTTCTGATTATATTTTCTAAACTTTCGATAACTTTGACAATATCTCAAAATAACCTCATGTACTTTAATTTTATTAAAATACGAGGATAGTTTGAAAAGAATATTTAATTATTTTTTATTTTTCTAAATTTTTACATTCCGAATTTCTACGTTTCTATACTATTTGGCAATTTTTAAACTACCCTCGTGTTACAGCCAAAAGAGCTTTGTGCAAGTATTACGGCCTTTATACATATATATATATATATATATTTGATTGTTAAATAATTTCCAACTGAACTATCAAAATGTTTACAACTATAAAAACACTGATATATATGTATATATAGAACTATATTCTTAAGATAAACAGCACTTCAATTCGATACGAAAAATAATCTCAGGAACAAAAAAGGAAATATTTTGGAAATATATAGGAATATATATGTATGTGTATCTATATGCTATATATATATATATATATAATGTCTGTGCGCAATTGTTTTCAAAGATAGTATTCAATTCAACAAATTATATCTCATGGAAAATCTCTTTAAACTTGTATTTTTACAAAGGAAGCCAACGTTCTGATTCTTTTATATATGGAGACAGACAGATTGATAGAGGCATATTCACAGCTCTTGTTTTCTTATCTAACAATTACTTCGATTTCGTAATCGCATATGATTTAAGTAACGTCCCGGTGGTGGACATATTTTTGTATAATTGGTAACAAACCGATATGCTTCGATCATGCTCTCCTCTTTAATCTGATGTTGTGTAATGCTGCCCTTGAAGGCGCACAAATGTGGAGAATTCGTGAAGCTGAAGAGAGCTTGATGTTGTCGCTTAATATTTGCGCGATTAGCGCAAAGTCCAGTTATATAAATATCCTCAAGATAAATGAGCGATGTATTTAGAGACGCCTCAAATAAACGTTCGACGACATCTATAGACATCAGATAACCGGCACCCGATAAGTATTTGGGATATACTTCGCCCTGAAACATATAATAGGGGATATACCATTTACTGCTGACATCGCTGACGGGCACAACATTGCAAAACTGATGACCTATCATGATACCAGTTGTCGCATTTAATCTATTGTATTGCGACATAACCACCATCGAACTACGATCATGATAGTCGAGAGTATCGTTATAGAGCGGCACTGTGCCACCGAGTAGAAAATGCAAAAGATTTGGAACGTTGACAAACGTATCATCGTCGCATTTAACAAAGTAAGCGCAAGTCTTTAGACAACTTTTGCTAATATGTTTCAGTGCCATCACAGATTTCAATGTTAGATTATTGTACGTATCGATGAAGCTCTCTTGAATTATATCATTATAGATTTCCGCTTCGCTTTGCAATCGCACAAGTGTTTCATTTCCCAAATGTGATTCATAGCTGTTGCGACCCACTATGAAGACTATGCGTACGCTTGCTGTAAGGTTTTCACCCTCGCCTTTTAGATAATCCGCATACAATTGCAAGCGTTTTTCCATTGGCGGCTGATAATGTCCCTTTAGGTGTCCATGCAGCTTGGCAAATGCTGCATAATTGAATTCTGTTGTATTACCCCAGGTTTCTCTAATTGTTTGTCTTTCCACGAAATTGCTTAAGCCGGTGCAGACGGCAATAATCAGAAATGTTTTGTTGCGACAAAAGTCACGGGGGGTTATGAGCGATGTCTCCTGCTGTGCCTGTATATAGTCCTTAATGTCTAGCGATGTGTTCGCCGACCAATCCGCCAGCGGAACTGCAAAACAATTAAAGTTAATACAATAAAGATCTGAAACAATTGACTTATGCTTCCACTTTCACTCACCATGTCTTTTTTGTACATATATTGAAATGTTGGGCAGGATTATGTACCGAAATAGCAATATTACGAATATGCACAGCACGAAATGGCAAATTTTTCGTAAAAATCGAGGCGATGAACATCGGAGACGTTGTCGTCGATGATGCAGTTTCCTTGCATCCCGAATTGATGCTTGACTTAACCGGGATTCGTCATCCGCGTGATCCTGATCGTCCAGCAGCGTACACTGTTCCGCCAGCTCAACATCACCACGTGCTGCATAGCCCATTGCTTTTGGTGATTGCAATTATGTGTTGCACTCCGAACGGCTCCAAGCTGCGTGCTTAACGCTCATACTGTATATTTATCGATCGTCTTTATATATATATATATATAAATATATATACGTATCACAGGTGGCTAACCAATAAGTAATTTAGATTACACATTTTTACACACGCGAATTATGGCTTACAGCAGTATCTTTTTTCGTTCCTAGATAACACTTTAAAGTGAAATTTGCAGACACAACTTGTATGTAGTTGTGCATTTGCGAATAGCTTTGCGTCAGCTGTTTGTGGACTCGATAGCTATCGATATTGAACGATAGCAATTGAGGTGTTTTCACTAACAGTGGGATAGGCGTTGAGCTTATCGTTGCTTTTACATTTATGTGCATTTTCTATACATATATATTTTTTCAGTATATAATTAGCCACGTTTCAGTTATATACATATATAACTACATACATTTGTCGTTACAATGCCCTTTAATGTCCTTCATACCTAATGTCCCGTATATTAGAGTTGTTCGTCTAGCCGTTGCCTTGCACTTCCCGCTTAACTTTTAAATTTTGAGTAATATCCACGTATTAATTATATCAGTAAATACTTAAGATTTTATTTAAAATGTTATGTACAATGATAATTCGACAAAGGTCAGATAGAACATAATGCTTTTAAATGTCAGGTAATTCAATGGTTTGATTTTTTTTTTTTTGGAAAAGGAATGACAATAATGATTAGCTAAGTTATGTGTCCACATAAATGTAGTCTTAGATACTAGGAAAAATAGTTAATGATTAAAATATATAGTGAATAAAAATAACACCCGGAACCTGCAGCTGTGAGGATTGCGAGATTTAATTTTAGAAATCCGCATCAAGTGTAAAGACATTGTCTAAACGATTCGATGTGACACCCATACGCTGATACTCCCCCACTTTCTTCTCGAAGAAATTCGTTTTTCCATCCAGCGAGATCATCTCCATAAAGGTAAATGGATTCTTTGTGTTGTAGAGTTTGCCAACACCGAGTTCCACCAGCAGACGATCGGCCACAAACTCAATATATTCGGACATTAATGCACAATTCATGCCAATTAAATTGACGGGCAGAGCATCTGTGAGGAATTCTTGTTCAATCTTCACAGCATCCGTGATGATCTCAATTATGCGCTCCCGCTTAGGACGTTGCACCAAATGCCGGAACATCATTACCGCAAAATCACAATGCAAGCCCTCGTCACGTGAGATCAACTCATTGGAGAAGGTCAAACCGGGCATCAGTCCACGCTTCTTCAGCCAAAAGATCGAGGCAAAGCTGCCGCTAAAGAAAATTCCCTCCACGGCAGCAAACGCAATGATTCGCTCGCCAAAATTCGCCGCCTTCGATGATATCCAAGAGAGCGCCCAATCGGCCTTTCGCTTGACAGCGGGCATTGTTTCAATTGCATTGAACAGATAGTCGCGTTGCTGTGGATCCCTTATATATGTATCTATCAGCACGCTGTACATCTCCGAGTGCACATTCTCCATGGCTATTTGAAAGCCATAGAAACAACGAGCTTCAGTGATTTGCACCTCTTGGCTAAAGCGCTCAACAAGGTTTTCATTCACAATGCCATCGGAGGCTGCAAAGAAGGCAAGCACATGGGAGATGAAATGACGTTCATTATCAGTTAAACGTTCCCAATCGCTCATATCCTTGGATAGATCCACCTCCTCTACAGTCCAGAAAGAGGCCTCCGCCTAAAATTTAAATTCAAATTGAAAAAGTTGAGTAAATTATACATTCATAGAATGGAAAATGCAATTTCACAATTTTTCTATCTCTTTCTATCACAAAAGAAAATGAATGTAGCTTATCAATCAATTTAGTTAAATAAATATGTGACTAACTACCTGAGTATGGGATGTATGAATGTGTGCAGGTATGTTAAGATATGAATGTTGTACGTATACAAACGATCTATGTACGTACATTCAGCATAAAATGTGACATAAAAAAATAAAAAGGAACTTTCGCTAGTACAGAAAATTTCACATAATCAATTTTATATGTCTACTCTTATTTGTGTATCTTCGTTATTGATGTTTGCATGTTTACTTAATATGGAACGTTACTGTACATGAGTATAAACATAAATGTACGTATGTTAGGCTACACATTTATGAATGTATATATGTATATATAGAAGTGTTTAGGTATATGAATGTGGATATAGGTAAGTATCTATATACATATGTACGCATCTTTTTTGGCTATAAGCAAATATATCCAGTACATCAAACATGTGTTTGTAAATGTATGTGTGTATGTATGTATGTATGTATGAATGTATGTATGTTTAAGTTGTACGAATGTAGGTATGTATGTAGACAAGTATATATGTATTTTATTCTGACAATCAGTCACGTCTGCGACGTGATCACATTTTGCCGCGCTTTATCATACATTTTCCCGCCTATTTCACCAGGCTCTACCACTAACACTCACACATATTTGTGTTAAACATACCTTCTTGTACATCTGCCAAATATCATGATATTGTATGGGAAAGATAACAAAGCGACGAGGATTCTCTCTGAGCAGCGGCTCCAGCGTAGGATCAAATGGTGAAGCAACCTTATCCATTATGGTCTGTTCAGTCTTGCCATTGCTGTTGACTTGATCTTTGGCTGTATCTTCCGGGGTGATCGACATTTTGCGAACGTTGCTGGCGTTCTCCGTCAGAATTTTCTTGCTGGGGCTCTGCGTAAGTAAAATGTAAAAAAGTAACAAGAATTTATAAATAGCTGCAAATTAATTTTCATTAATTTGAATAATACGCAAATGACACTCCGTTTAGCCACATCTACACAAATGCATTAATAAATACTATATAAGCTGTGGGTAATTGAGAACGTGTCTTTGTACCTTTAGCGAGAATTTTTCCATGTTGTCCGTAATGTTTTCTTTGCCGGCTACTTGAGATTGAGACATGGTCTTTTATTTTTTTTTTCACTAAATCTTGAAATAAAAACGAGTTAAAATAGTTGTTAACCAAGTACTGTAGTACGCAGTTGTATATCGTTCAATGGTTCACAAGTTAATGAATTCAACCCTAAATGCACTTTTTCTTTATAAGCAGCGCGCGCATTTCTCGCGTACAGTTTTCCTTTCCCGCCTTCACTCCAATTGAACAGCTGTGCGTACGCAACAAGTGAATGCCAAAGTAGAGTGTTGTAAAAGTACCTAAAATTGTATGACTTGTGGCACAACCATAAAGCCGGTCTACGGGTGGCTCCGCATCAGAAAGTATTTGTTCTTAAAGTAAAATACAATGTTAACTGTGAATTCATTACAAGTGATATGATATATAAATGATATATAGTCATTATAAAAACAACTAAAATAAAGTCAAGTTAAGGTTGTTAACAACAAAGCTATTCCTAGTCCTCTTCGGTACCGATATTTAACTAATATTTTTCTCGATATATAAATGAATAACCGCCAATAACATAAGCTTGTTGCATGCATTGTTATCGAACAGCAATTCAAGTGTTGTAAAAGTCGCCAATTTGAAAACCTTCGAACACAGCAAACAAACCGGCTGAACAATTAACAGTGTATTTGCGGTCTTCGAAAATGATTGATAAACTTTACTATTAAATGTGGTAGGTAAACAAGTTGAACAAAATAAAATCAATATGTCGACAACCACATCACACCACAAACGTCTGGCATATTGTACTACACGACCGCAATATAGACAGGGTCGCGAACTTAAAGCAGTGAAAGTAAGTGAAACCCAAACTTGAATTATTAACGAATTCTTAATAATTGTCTGAAATTTTAGGTTTATACGGTTGCCAGTGAGTCTCGCCATATGTTAATCTTCGGGGTGCCAAAAGTTAATCTACACTCTGAAATTAAAAATAAATTGCAGCAATTTGGTAAACTGCGTTCCTTCACCTGTGTTAGCAACGAAATGGCAGAACGAAGTGATCAAGAGAGATTTATATATTATATACAAGTTTGACTATAGTATCTTATGTTTACAGTTGAATTGGAGGCCTTTACAGATGTTTATGCAGCACAATTTGAGCGACTGGAACAAGCACGACATGCGAAACGCCATCTGGATGCAAAGCAGTTTTTTGGAGGCATTTTGCACATCTCATATGCACCCGAAAGAGAGAATTCAGAGGAGTTGCGGGAGAAGCTGTTGCAGAGACGTAAAGAGATTGCTCAACGCTTGCAGCGCAATCAGTTGGAACAATCACATTGAACTTGTATAAATTATAATTTATGGATTTTATTCAACCTCCTAACACATGATAACACGAGCCTCAAAGGCTGAACGATGATGATCCTTTGTCGATTATCCAATATTATATTATTTTTGTTTCGTTCGGCGCAGCTCGTGATAGTAATTTAGTAAGCCAATGCGTTTCGCCCACACCTGGGCGCCATAGTTTGCCCAAAAGCTATAAGATATAGATATATTGTTAGAGATTTTGGATAGATGATGCTCTTTTTGTTACTCACATGCCAAATAGGGCGCCACCTAAATGCGCCGCATGATCGAAGAATTTCCATCCCATGACGCAGCCGGCAAAGTCGATGCCCATGATGACTTTAATTGCAGCTCCGGCAGAGAACGTAACAGTTGGCAGGAACAGTATGCTCAACTGTGTATCTGGGTATTGTGCACAAACGTAGGCCAGAACGGTCATGATGGCTCCAGACTAAAGTATTCATAAGATTTTAAATAAATATATATCAATTCCTCTTCTAATAACAATGATTATCTGTTATGAGAGACGCACCGCTCCTAACGACATGCCGGGCTGACGCGTGCCCGCTTTGTAGAGCACGCTCATCAAGCTGGAGAAAACGCCAGCGCTGAGGTAGACGGCCATGAATTGCTCCTTGCCCATGGATAAAACGGCAGCATTTGAAAAGCTATGCAACACATACATATTGGCAAAAATGTGCATGACAGAATAATGGCTGAATGTGGAAAGGAACATGGGCCAGCACACAATGCCTGCAAAGTTAAAACAGATAAAGAAACTTGGCTAATCCATTAAAGTACTTAAGTTTTCCATTTACGTGCGGCTGGGTTTGATGTGAAGTATGTCATCATCATATTCCTCATCGATGGAACACGCCACAATCCAAATGCTAGCAGGTTGCAAACCAAGAGTGGTGCAAAGGTTTTATCACCAGGCGACAGGGAGTCCCAGAAACGTTTTATATCATTCTTTAACTGCCACCAAATATCACGTTCTACCAAGGGGCGACTTTGCACCCACCCAAATCGCGCCTGTTTCGCTTTCGAGAGGATCATGCTGCGCGTATTCTCATATTCAACAATTGTGGCACCTGCAAAGCAACCGAGGCTGAACTAAACAAAAGTTGAAATCAATAACAAATAATTGATGAGAGTGAAGCATGTAGCATATCACTTACAGCGCCTGTAAATGCAATTGCCTTAATTACATTACTCGTTGGCACATGACCACTGGCATCTCCAGACGGTGCAACGACAGGTGATTTAATGTTACTCCATCTGGCTTTCTGGACATGGAAATGACGCACCGGCTGCCCCGATCCACATCTTTGTGCATTGAGACTCTGTCGGCATGCTTGAAAACGTGCCCCTCCATATCCAAAATTAAATCGATATCTAAAATAACAACATATATTTACTAATTTCAAAAGTGGGCGTGACTGTGCCTTCTGCATTGGCATCCTTACTTACGTCACCTGTGTTAACCAACTTTGGCATAGCGCACGATTAATAAGCATAATATATTGAAGATATCACGAATTTTGCATAAGCTATGGTGTATATATATAATAAATAAAGTGTTTGCCTTGTGCTCGACGTATAACAAAGCTGGTTGACATAAAAATATGCTGTTGATTTGATTTCTTTCAATTTTTTTTACAATTAAGGTTCCGTTTGGAATTTTGCCTGGATTTCGATTTGGTTATTGTCCACGTTGATTTGTTCTACTTTTTATTTTAATAAAATACAGCTGTATATTGTTGGAGGTTTTTCAGTTGTTTGCGTCAGTCACCACGTTGAAGGTTTCCAATTTAAAAGCTTGGTCTTAATGTTGTAATTGTTTCAAAATATGTGTTTGTTTTTTGTTGCTTTTTGTTTATTTTTGCCATTTGCTATTTTGTTCGGCCATCTGTTAATTTTACATTTCGCTTTAATGTTATTAACAGACCTCAAAGTTGTTTTGTGTACAAAATCGGACAATATAATTTTGTAAAAGAATTTTTTATGATAATGACATAAAAACCGAAATTTGTTTTAAAAAGACCAAATAGGTTAAATTTATATTAAAATGATAACCAATAGCTGTTAACACACAACTCAGATATACGTGTCATTAACAGTGCTGTTAACCGGCTTTAGGTTTTCATAAAGCGATAAGCATTTACCTTAAAATCGAGTATATAAAAATGTAGTTTTACCTAAATATTATTTTGTTTTTTGTTGGATAACTAATAACAAATATGCTAATATATATAGTATGTTAGTCTTTTTGATGAAAACATCAATGATTAAGTTGATTGATAGCGCCATAAAATCGTTGTTATCGATAATATGTCATCGAATATTTGACAGTTCTAATTGGCACAAATACAAATATGGCACATGTGGAGCCGGTAAACAATAAATATTTTGATTTGGTTGTTTATTTAACCCAAAAATATGTTTTTATAGCACAACGAAACCAACGAATTACTGCGGCAGATAGTTAATTTAAACTTAACTGAAAATGTAGCTGAAATAACAACACTATTAAAATGTTTGCGCCTGCTGCTTACCCAAAGCCCCGAAAGTCAACGAACGTTGGCAAACAATGCAGAATTTGCAAGTTTCATAAAAGAAGTTGTATTTAACCCAATTATGCGCACAGAGCAACGCACGCTGCATATATTAACTTTGCAGGTGCTGGCCAATAGCGTTGTTAATAATGAAGAATCCCAGTCAGCAATTTGGCAAGCACATGGAACACAAATAGCCGAGCACGCGGCAAAAGCTCCATTGGGCAGCTCAAACAATGTGCTGCTCATGATTATGTATAATATATATATGGGCGCACGTTTGCCTGGAGAGCAGTTGGTATTTGAAACCTGTGTTAGCCTATGGCAGGCCATAATTGAAACGCAAACGGATTATAATTTTGAATACTTGCATTTTTTGATGGAACACTTTGTGGTAAAGGATGGACGCAGTTGTGTGCATTGTTATCAACGTCTGAAGTCTGTGGAGGAGCGTATAACCTTTCTTGACTATGTCGCCCACTATTTGCGTGAGGACAGTCCAAATGGTGATATAAACAACACATTGTTACAATTCTTTGCCAAGGAGTTTCGTTTGAAATCGGATTGCATTTTACGTGAAACACTTAAACTGCGTCATCACCTGCATCCACGCGAAGTGCACACGTTGTTGCGCATCATAGCAAGTGCCAGCGGCTCAGAGAAATATGCGGAAACCTATGCAACCGATCAGTCGCTGTTCATTAATGTGAGCAGCCTGCTACGCTGTGTAATTACAGCTGGTAAGGAACCAGATAACAGCTTGGATAAACCCATGACAAAGCTGGAAGAAGTGGCGCTTAGCTCTAATATCGATGCAGACTACGAGGCGAGAGTCTCCTTTGAGTTGAAAACTTTGCTCGTTCGCTGCACAGCGAATTTGTTATATGAGAATGTGGCTAATAGAGGATACTGCCTCGATACTCAGCTGCTGCCAGCGCTGCTCGAATGCACAGTCATGGATGCGCGTAATCCTTGTAAGTGTGTCATCAATGGCAAATGCAATTAACTATATTCTCTACTCCCTCTCGGCTCACTTTCTTTCCCTTTGCAGTGATGCGTGAGTGGAGCATTTTGGCCATACGCAATGCTTGCTTTAAGTGCCCTGAAGCTCAACAGGTGATAGCTCAGCTGACACTTCAAGGCGCTGCTCCAAATGATTTACTCAGCGAATTGAATTTAGATTTGGGCGCACTGCGCATCACAGACAGAAAGCAATAGAATCGGAGCCAAATAAGCGCGAACAAGTGGCACGACGTCATCCGCATTTGGCTTTTGAATGATGCGCTAAATGGTATGCCAAAAAAACCAAAAAAAAAAATAAAGAAAAGGAAAACGAAAAAGAAACGAAATGAATATAAGAACAACTAACAGCATTCATAAACTCGTTGTCAACGTTTAATAGCAAATGCGAGCGAGCCAGCGAACGAGCGTGTGTGTTGGCATGCTGTGCTGGCTAGCTGACTGGCTGTACGATTTATATACATATATTATATAAATAGCTGCCCATGGCTCTGTAGCATTAAAAAAGAGCGAAGATGCCTAAATACATCAATTTCTAAATTTACGCACGCACACTCAGACACACACACACACATATATATATATATATATAAATATATGCTGAACAGTATGCGCCTGCGGGCTCATTTTTTGTCTGTTTTAATGGCGCAATTAAAAAACGATGACGCAGAGCTTCATGACTACGACTTGGGATTCGCTTGTTATACAGCAATTCAGCTAGCCAGCTACCCACTCGATCGGCCAGTTCACTACACTTAAGTCATTGAACCAGCCAGACTGTCTAACAGCCAGTCAAACTTTCAGCCAGCTAGCTATTCAGTCTTCATTTAGCAAATCAGCTTTATATGCAGCAATTCAGCCAGTCAGCAAACCAACTAGTCATACCGTTAGTCAGCTATCTGTTCAGTTCAGCTATCCAATCCAGCTAGCTCTTCAATCAGCTAGTTAATCAGATAGTCAGCTAGCCGTTCAATCAGCATACTTACTATTTCGCTATTCAGCCAACCAGAATGTTCGTTAGACAGTCATTCCAGTTATTCCGTCAGCCATTAAGCCACACATTCATCAATTCAGCTGGATATTTAAGGATCTCTCTATTCAAAGAGTTAGTCAGCTAATTATTCAGCATTTCTTCTGGTCATTCAGCTGCTCATCTAGCCTGCCCGAGTCCCTCAGCAACAGAATCAGTATTGTCCTAATTCAGCTAGTTTTTCAGCAATTCAGCCAGACCTTTAGTCAGCTAGCTACTCTCCCACCTTGTCAGCCATTCACCCAGTAAACCTGCAAGTCATTGCGCCAGCTATTCAGCCAGTCAAACAGCAAGTTGGCTAGTCGGCTAGCCCTTCAGCCAGTGAACTAGTTTGTCAATCAGCCAGCCAGACAGCCAGCTAGCGCCTGCTGCAGGTGGCCATGCACTGCTTGGCTTTCACGACACCGTAGCTAGATATACATATATGTAAATTTATTTATATACCCCTGCCTGATGTGCACACATGTGTTTCTGTGTGTGTGCTTGTGTCCGCCTCTCTTCCTTGCTCGCACTGTATCCATGTGTGCAGCACGGCCGCAATTATGTTTATGTTGCGAGCCGCACAAAACTTTGTGCGCTCGCAAATCAACGCCGGCGGGCGGGCTAAAGCTAAAGCTAAAGCGAACAATGGCAGCGCTCCTTTTGTTTTTATCGGGGCAACCACTGGCGGTGGCATTGCCTTTACTCTTGCCTCTATGTAGTAGTCGCAGTCAGTCAGTCTGAGGCAGTGCCTGTGCTTCGAAGCAGCAACAGCAGCAGCAGCAGCAGCCGCCGCCGCAGCAGTCGCGAGATATTTCGACGGTTTCGCTGCGATTTAAATTGTTGTTAAAATTCGCTCAAACCCAAAAATATATTTTATATTTATTTATTTAAATTTCCAAAAGGCGCGTAAAACAAAAAGCAAAAGAAAAGAAATTTCATTCGTCTATATAAACAAAATCTGAAGCTATAAAAAAAACGCATTCAAATCGGCGTCAACTATAAAAATTCAGTTGCAAGTTCGAAAGTTTTAATGGTAAACAAAGTTGCATTTAATCCAAATATTTGAAGCAAGTGTCCGAGTGCACTTATATAATCATAAATCAAATCAAGAAAGCAAAACAAATCGCAATCAAATTCACAATTAATTTATGCACGAACTGTTAAACTAATCAACTTAAAAGTTATACGAAATTCGCACTAAAAATTGTTAAAATATTTTAAGAAAAAACTGTTGTTTGCATAATACATATATATTTTACTATGTTTTTTATTTTAGATTTAGGCTAAACATTTTTCTTGTGCGCGCGTGTGTTGTATACATATATATATACATATATATACACATAAATATGTGTGTGTTTTATATATATTTAAAAAAATTAAAATTCTCTTGTCAAAACTGTCAATAGAAAACAAAGTAAAAACGTTCAAATTGGCCATAAGCGACTGTTTAATACTCGTTCGAAATGTCCAAAAATATCTAAAATAATTTTAAATATATTTTTTTCCGATTTTTCACAAATGGGTTTGCTTTTTAATTAAGTTTAAGTTTCAAATTAAAAATGTATAGCTCTATACGTGCTGCAGTTGCTTAACATTGATCTGACTCAAAACGTATTAACACTAAAATAGTGAAGGTTTTGTTCATTTAAATGCTAGCACCATATAACTTATAGGTTTTTGTCTAAAGGTACAGCTGTTAGGATCGTATAAGCTGAGAAGCTTATATATATTTATTTTTATAACTTGAAAGGCGTATATACACTATATATAAGCGGATAGTGCTCAATCTGTAGAGAAAATAAAGAATAGTAAACCACTTATCAAATTTAGGTATTCTAGTAGCCCTAAGACTACAAAAGTTGCTATATGCTCTTATATACATTAGTATACACCGGAAATTCCAATAATTCACCTGCAATGCAGAACCGAAACGGCTCAAATTTAGTAATTTCTGAATTGGGCTATTCTTGATTGAGTATATATACCACAGCAAAACCTATATACTCTCCTCTGTCACTTTGTGAACGATTATAAATAGATTATATAGCAAATAAAAGACAATGAAATAATTGTTGAAAAATTACGTTTTTCAGAATTTTGTCGTGCGGTCAGTCTTCAGGTTTGTTCAGTTAAATGGATATATATATACATATATATAAATATACGTATATATATTTATCATGTGTATATATTTAATGGCCACACACACCTCTAGCTAGGCGTAAGGAATTTGAATATGTAGAGAAGACGCAGCCTGATAACTGTACAATTCTGTCTAAAAATACGAAAATCAAAATATTTAAGACGGATTTTGTTTAAAACAAAAGCGAAAACTTAAAAAAAATAAGATAAAAGTAAGAATAGAACGCAACTCGGATAGAGGCAAACAGGCAATGAACGACTATATGATATCCTGCAGGCAGCTTCTCACTGATATTTCTAATCAGCTAATGATCTAAAGAATGTAATATTGACGATAATAATTATATACATCATTCCTCATCGAGCAGCGTCGATTATCATTATCATTATAATACACTTCATAATGATACTGATCTAAAGATTAACATCATAATAACTGTGAGAATACTGATCATCGTAATGATCACTAACTGGCTATACTTATTATCATAATTATCATTATTACAATATCTTTAAATAAATAACAATTTCTGTATTTAAAAAAATTATTTAACAAAATTTATTTAAAACATTTAACTTTGACAAAATATAAACTATAAATATATATTAACAAAAAAATTATTTAACAAAATATTGATTATTTAAAACTGTTTCACTTCACTTCACTTCACTGCACTGCACTGCGACTGACCCGTAGGTGGGTCACGAAGACGACTGATGAAAACTGCAGCAGGCACATCTATTTATAGGCAACACAGTCACTCAATGCCGAGCTCAGCTCTTGAGCCTACTCTCAGGCACGTCTATTTATAGGCAGCACAGTCACTCAACGCCGAGCTCAGCTCTTGAACATACTCTCAGTGTTAGTTTCTGCACTCGATCAAAGCTAAGTTCTGCAAATGAGCGCTTTCTGAGTTAGTTTTGACTGTCGCTCACTTTTATGCTCCTTTACGAAGCCTCTCACTCTGTTCAATTTTAGACTCGATCAAACTGCGGCTCAGCTAATAAGCTTTGCTCTGCGTAAGTTCTTAAGCGTGTTTCAATGAGTCATTTTAATAATTCTCTTTATGGACGACTTATCCTGAGTTGAGCTAAAAAACGTTTCTTTGAGCAAGTTTTAATGTCCCTTTTTTTCTGAGTTAGTTTTAATGCTTGTTTATTTGCCTTTACTAAAAATGAGTTTTTCTGTTTCGGCTTTTGCGCTAGATCAAATTTTTCAGCTATGAAGCGATTCTATGAGTTAGTTTTAATGCTCTTTAATAAAGAAATGAGTGATATTCTGAGTTAGTTTTAGTGCTCGATTCAGCTGGCTTACGAAGAATCGAGTTATGCATTGAGTTAGTTTTAATGGTACTTAACGAAGAACTTACAAGAGTGCATTGATTATTTGCATGTTGACAGTTGTTTTGTTGTATAATATATGTATATAACTGCCAACTTCTATGTGTCACATACAATTGCGCATAAGCAGTATACCCGGCATAAGAACATTTGCAATAGGGTACAGCTAGCGGGTGTAATACTTAAGAACTCTAAACACTTAAGAGATTTTCGTTTTTTGGTTTGTTTTGTTTTTTGTCTCTCTTTTAAATGTTGGCAAATGACGCAGTTGGCGGCTTCATGACGCAAATGCAACTCCCAACTGCAACAATACCGTTGTATATGTATGTCTATAAATAAGACGCGGAAGTTGCATGCAACACAGCAACAACAACAAAAGATGAAAGCAGACGTAAATAAAATAAGAATTAAAACCGAAAATAAAATCATAAAACTTAATATTTTCACTAATGAATATAATTTATATAGTAAATGTATATATATCTATCTCTCTCTGTGTGTGTGTGTGTATTTGCAAATTGTTGCGGGTTTTCCCGAAGCAAAATTTCCACATTTTATGATCCACACATAATATTAAAGCTCTCGATGTTGACGAACAAAGCATTTAAATGATATATGTGTCTGCTATATATCCATATATATATGCTATATATATGTATATATTCGACCCGCAGCAAAGTACTTTTGGGCATATGACACTTACACACGCACACGCCCCCACCCACGCGCTGGGGCGCACCTAATTTCTCGCCAAAATATTTGTTAGATATATGCTTATATATACTACATATATATATGCAAAACTCAAAGAAATTCTCAACAGATTTTAATAATTTTAAAGAAAATATTAAATATTTTAATTTTGTTTTTGTTTTTGTGGTTTTTTTTGGTTGTTTGTAAATGTCTTTACTAATTTGCTTAATTTGTGCCAGAAATTAATAAAACGGTATTTCTTCTTCTTCTTGGCTTTGGTTGCCAACGCGACGACAGCCAAAAAACAACATGTAAATAAAAAAAATAAATAAATAAATATATAAATTCTCCAAAAAGGCCTAAAAATGCCAGACAAATGTGCATGAAATATGTTGTTTTAAGCATCAGGAGAGCCAAAAATAATTCACACGATCTGATTCGGCCAATTAAACGGTCTTAACTGACTGCACAATTCGCGCTCAGCGATCAAATTGTGAATGCTAAATTCAGCTCAGCTCTTTATCTATCTATAGAGCAGGATTGAACTGGGTATTACCAGCTCTACAAATTGTGAAAGCTCTTCTTATGCTCGCTCGTCCTCGAAGCAAAGCAGCATATTTAGATAAACAGATTGATAGACAGACAAAGGAACCAATATGCTCTCTTTGCACATTGTGAACGTGCATAAAAAGAAATCTAAATGAAATATAAATAAAAATTCTATTTTTTTTTGGCGTAAATTCCCATGCGAAAACACCTGCTGAATTATAATTATGACACACACACACAGACACACGCACATATATACTTTTAGCCATACATATTTAGGCGCACACATAGATACATACATATATATAAATGCATATGTATATATAGACGCTCACTACTCTCTACACTTGCATCTATACACACATACAGTCACACCTATAAGCCTTCCTCCCTTTCGCTGTACTCCGCTGCGTATACGCAACGTGACTTCATTGTACTTAAGCATGAACAATTATTGCTCTTCATTTGTTTTAATTAATATTTGTCCAACTTTTCTGTTTGCACTTTTCGCGCAGGAACGTGCCCTGTCCCATGTGCGTGTGGATTTCCCATTGGTATCGCCCGGTGACCGCAAGCATTTGCTGAGCCCGTAAGAGAAGCGCGGACTGCGCAGCCGCGAAGATGAAGCGCGACATATCCACCTCGACAATTGGCCGAGATGAGGCCAGGCGTCCACTGATGGAGGCATACATGTTTCAGCGCCGCGTGCTGCTCGGCTGCAGCCTGCTGATGGTCGTTTCGCTGATAGTGTGGATAGTGGCGATAGCAACGGACCATTGGATCATCATATCAGGCAGACAAGGTGCGTAGCAAAAGTGGCCAATTCACCGAGAGAGACGAGCGAGACTTAGGCCCTCCTTGTTCGCAGGCATCTTCATACCAGAATCGCGTCGCTTCTTCATAAACTCGCACTCGGGCCTGTGGCGCCATTGCCGCAACACGATTGTGCCGAATGCTCTGAGCAATGCGCAGGTGGTGCGAAACTTTAGCTCCATGTCGTACACCTCGCAGTCGTATATCAACGATGCCAAACGTAACTTGACTCACATGGAGTTCATTCGAAATTTCGCCCAGGAGAAGTTGGACGGTTCGGGCAACTTTACGGAGCCGGCGCGTCGACGCATGTTCGCCCATTGGGCGAGAGGGGAGGAGGAGGAGTTCCAAACGTTTCGCAGCGCCTTCCACAAGCTGGTCATGTCGACGGAAGCGAATCAGCATGAATTCAATGCGACAGGCGCGAAGCCCATTCCCATCGATCCGTTGAACGTCAATGGGATAATCAAGAATCGCACCTTTGGCTCGGCGCTGCAGCGTGTTAAGTACAACAACACCTGGTCCTACTATGTGATACCAGAGATGGCACAGCAGTGCTTATTCAGCAATTGGACGGATTATCCATTGGTGGTGCGACTGCTGGGCACGTACATCAGAGACATCGGCATACCCGCCTTTGTGTTGAATGAGGACCGCGTGATTTTGCTTTTGGTGCCGCCGCTGCCACCAAAAAAGAGCGGACAGACCGCCTACTACAGCTATATACCATACCGTAAATATACATGCAGTGTTAAAGATTATTCAATTCTAATTAATATTTCTTTTTTAGCGCGTTGCAAATACATCGACATGTTTCCCAATTCAAATACCCTACGCAGTGAGCCTGGCTTTGATGATGAATTAATGGGTATGTATTAGTACTAACCATTCATTTGTATTTACTCATGTCCCTTATTCTCTTGCGATCGAGTGAGACGGATGCTTCTCTTAAACCATGCGCCATTTTTCGCTTACTTTCATTGCTCTCTTACGTGGTCAACCCGTAACGGGTCATGACTAACATAAGCCTAGTGCGATCGAGCGAGATAGACGCTAGTTCTAGTTACACGTTATTTATTTTGGTTGCTTACGCTCACTGCTCTCTCAATTTTATATGTGTGTATGTGCGTAAACGTTTGCACAACCTGTAATGTAAAAAATTCTCTTCTGAGAAAGAAGCATTGAAACATAGTAACGGGATCTGGAACGCTCATATGTTATGTTATATTTGTGCATGCATTTTCTTTGGAAAGGGTATTGCAGTGTTGGCGCGCTTAGGACCAACGTTCTTGAGGTCAAATATTCGCATACACATACACACGCGTACTACAGTTTTTATTTGGTAGTGTCTTGGTACGCCATTGCAGATTACATTCGGACGCAGGCATCCTTTGCCTGCATCACATTGTTCGTCATGAGCTTGGGCGCTGTTTTCTCCTTCTACACGTTCATGAATCCCCGCTACATGTTCAAGCGTTTGGCTGGTGGCATACACCTGGTGGCGGCATCCACAGCGCTTGTAGTGCTTCAGGTTCTGTTCTCTTCCATTGACTACACCAAGGATCATTTGTTCTATGCCTATCCGGATGGTGCGGAATTGACGTAAGTGAAGACTTGAGAAAAATCAGCAATTTTGTTAATAATTGAACATTTCTCACCTATGCAGCTATGGCTATGGCGTTTACCTAGCCTGGTTCACGTTCGTAGTTAATATTGTTTGCGGTGTTATGTTCCTCTGGTATTCAGGTAAGAAGAAAGGCGCCAAGGCGCCCAATGATGAAGTCGCCATGGCCGATGAGCCAACCATAATGGGCAGATAGCTTCGACCCATACAATCAGCGAGAAAAAAATCAAAGACCAAAGCAATCCAAAGTCAATACCTGGATTGGTATTTTGCCTTTCACTTTTGTTATTTGTTATCTTCTTAATAATACTACACATATGTATAAATTGAGTTTTTCATTAATAATAATCTGAAGAACTCGGCGTAATAAAGAAATCACTTGTTTACCTGTAATAGAAAAACTGATGTTTCATTTGAAAAGGTGTTACACCGGCGGGTATAATTTCGATAAGTTAAAATCTTATTCTGTTTTGGTATTTTCGATATGAAATCGAATATACTATTGTATTCAATATTGAATATAGCTAAAAGTTGTCAGGCTGTTAGTAATACAGCATGTTCGTATTTTTGGTATTTTCGATTATTTTGAATGTAAATTTATGACATCACAAATATGATTTTGACCTTGCACATGTACGTTATCGTTTAAGCAGAGCAGGCATGCAGTTCCACCTTATACGCTTATATTACATGCAAGACCAACGTTTTGTTGATATAGAAATTTGGTAAAATCTAAATGAAATGGAGGTGGATATATTTACTACGCGTACCAAAGAGTTATCCTCCGAGGAACTAGTTAAGCTCGAGGAGCAAAACAAGCGCTTGGTGCCTGAATTCAAGGCGAATAAACTTGAGATCGATGCACAGCGGCACTGGGATTTGTTCTATAAAAGGAATGAAACACGCTTCTTTAAGGATCGCCATTGGACAACTCGTGAGTTTCAGGTGCTGCTGGCGGAGGCGAGTTCAAGCGAGAGACGCACCCTCTTAGAGGTGGGCTGCGGCGTTGGCAATCTGGTTTTTCCACTGCTGGAGGAGCAGATCAAGCAGGAGAATAGTGAACAAGGCTTCTATTTCTATGCCTGCGACTTTTCACCACGTGCCGTGGACTTTGTGCGAGCAAATCCCTTGTACGACACCAAGCATATAACCGCCTTTCAGTGCGACATAACAACGCAACAGGTGCATGAGCACATCGAAGCAGCCAGCCTCGATGTCTGTACCATGATCTTCGTGCTGTCTGCCATACATCCCGATAGATTCGTTGACGTCGTCAAGAATCTATGGCAATTGCTGAAGCCTGGCGGACTGGTACTGTTCCGTGATTATGGCCTTTACGACATGGCACAGCTGCGCTTTAAGCCGGGTCATAAGATAAGCGAAAACCTTTACATGCGACAGGATGGCACGCGCAGCTATTACTTTGCGCAAGAAGAGCTCGCGGAGATCTTTAGTCACAATGGGTTCGACGTGCTGGACAACAACTATGTGCATCGACGCACACTCAATCTGAAGGAGGGCATCGATGTGCCGCGCATCTTTCTCCAGGGCAAATTCCGCAAGCGTTCAGACAGCTGATGCTGCTCCGATGCCTAATGATATTCTGTATAACTATGTGTGTATGAGAATCTACTAGGTCATTATGTACATCACTATGTATAACTGATGAACCATGTGTAGACAACGCTGAGCTAGCTAATTATTTCTGTTCATATAGCTGATTATCCTCACTTTTATTATTATGGATATAGCTGATGATTATCTTTTTAATTATGTCGGTAAGCTTATATTTCACAATTTAATATAGTTTGTATAATTTAAATAAATTTTCAATAACATTTTGTGGGTCAACGTTCAATAAATATTTATTGTATATGTTAGGCTTACATGTGTATATGTGTGGTATATATATGTGTATGTGTGTAACACCTTAAGGTACATATATATATATATATTTATGTATATATATATATATATATATGCCTGACCATAGCGAGCTTGTCTGCTCGTGAGCTCATTATGAACCTTGGCATACAATTGACTATATATATTATATATATATATATATACATATTTCAAGACATATATATATATATCTTAAACCCATAATACCTTTATACTAAGTTAGTTAATTAGTTACAATTCGACAGATTTGCTTTAGTTAGTTGCACTATTAAATTCATTATAAAATGCTATTGTTTAGCATATATTTGCTGGACAACATGGTAACTTGGCTATATATATGGTTATATATATAAATATTTGTGTATTACGGGTATATCTGTGCTTAGCCCTAAAACGAAAATTACATAAACTGGTAATGTACATTGTTTTCTTGCTTTAGCAACCATTAGATTACAATACGAACAACTTAGTGTGACAATAATATTTAACAAATAGTTTAACTTCTCTCTTTGTTTCTTTCTTTAAGTATATCTGAGTTACATTTTACAGGCCTCCAAATCATTTCTGTTTTTTGTTCGTCAGTTAATACCAAGGAGGTAACGAATATACATACATATATATATACATCTATATATATAAATATATATATATATATAACTATAAATTTGAATTTGGCTAAGTGGTTAGTTGAATTGCCCGAGTTAATCGGGGCCATGCTCGGTTAGCTTAGCCCCATTGCTGTTGCTGTGACCCAGTGGGGTCATCTCGACGCTCGATTCAAAGCTTTTGGTCAACATGTCAGTGCTCGTTATGGAAGTTGTATTGCTGTTCAGTGAGGGAGCAACAGGCAGGTTGGCAATGCCATCATTTAAGTCGCTATCGATGCTGAAGCTATTGCTGCCATTCTCGTTGATCAGCGAGAGCGTCTGCATGGGCAGCATATCGGTGGCTTGTGGCTCTCCTACGGCATCATAGGTCTTCGACTTGCTCACACTTAAGGGACTCTTATCGTATTCCTGTCCAGTGTCTGATTGCAGCTGCATCAGCGAATTGCGTTGAGTATGTTTATCGAATTTACGTTGCGGTGGTTTCGGCGGCTCCTTATCCTTCTCTTTCTCCTTTTCCTTGTCCTTCGACTTCTTGAAGCCGAGCGCTTTGTGCGCCTGAGCTTTGATGCCCTCCATGCTGGGTCTGATGATGGAGGTGCGTGTGCCGCCACTGCTACTCTCCTTGGTTGATGGCGATTCCTTGGCACTCGGTTCCGTTTCCTCTGTCACGCTCGCCAGCTGCTGTGGAGCCTGAGGTATTGTGAGATCTTGCACCTGTATGGGAATGTCATCGGGAAGCTTTTTCGTACGGAATGAAGCGTTCGTTATCATCGATTTCGATACAGAGGTCGTCACGGTAGTCGTAGCCGGCGTCAAAGCCACGCTCAGACCCATTGGCCCATCGTTGGGCTGACCTGAGGGATTGGCATGCAGCGAATTGCGCACAGCGTTTGTAACTAAAATTAGCTCTGTAAACATTTCATAGCTGGCACGATTATGTATATCCTCTAGTGTTTGTATGGCCACAGTGCCAAAGCCATTGAACATGGCATAGTAAATCGCATGCACCAGCTCGATCAGAAACGACGCGGAGAGAGGAATACGCGGCGCGGATGGTTTCGGGAATGTCGCGCCCGTCGCTGGATCGGAGCTGAAAGTGGAAATGAGTTAGAGTTGTAATCAAGAGTAGTCTTCTTACTCACCCGTAGCTCATGCGATGTCCATGTCCTGACTTGGTGGTAAATCCCTGATTGACCAGCTGCGAGGCAACACGGCACAGATACAGCAGCGACGATTTCTGGGTAAGGCTAACCTGCTGGTTGTAACAGAAGAGCAGCGCAGTCATAATCCTCATTCTGTTTTGAGCGTTGATCGATTCAATTCGTAAATGTGGACCCCACTTGACTTCTCGATTGCAATTCTCCTCCCAACGTCGCAGATCCGTCATGGGCAGATTCTTCAGCTCATGGTAGACAGACACTTGGGCTAGTATGGGCATGCGAAATGCCACAACCTTCTGGCCGCCGTCGTCGGTGGACACCTCGCCATTGTAAATGCAAATGAGCAACGTTTCAACTCCTCTGGATGCCTTTTTATCACCTGCCGAAACGGCATGCAGGTATGTGTAGATTAGTACGGGCAGGAATTGCAATGGAAACTTGTGTAGTGTCAATTCCGGTGCTCGATAGAAGGCCAACAGTTGTTGGCAAATGTCATGGACCAAATCCTCGTTACGTTGCCTTTCGCTGAATATGGTGAAGATGGCTTCGGCGATTTCGGGATCTGTTTCGTGCTCGACGACAAATGCTTCGGAGTCGGCTGGCTGACGGCGTGCCCGTTGATAGTCTGTCAGCCAATCTTTAACCAATTCGGCCATTATTATGTATTATAAGTTCTTAATTAATTTGCTAACACTCTGCCCTCTAATCTTTTTCACACATAAACCTTGCATATCTGCGCAGGGCTACAAGCGCAACGATAACATTAATTCAATGGAACTAGTTCGAAATCGCTATATTAATATAAAAAAATGCAAATGGTCAGCTTCAACGTTGGTAATATAAAGGAAATTTCGACATTGACCAATGAAATTGTAGCGCTTCTTCCTAGCTTAGAATCGTGCGATCGACTGAATGCATAATTTAAATTACAGCTGAGTGACTCACGTCTACTCTGCCACCCTAGTCGATATATGTGAAAAGTAACTCTGCAATGTTCTCACCAAATGAATCAAGTCCAATTGGAACTGCGAATATATATAGTACGTTTTTACATATATATATCGCAACACATGCATACTCATACATGTACATGTAGTTGTAATTATAATTAGCCATTTTTACGACGAAAACAAACTATTAAATAATAAAGACTTACGAAAAATAAATGCCAAATATAATATACAAATCAATATAGAATATAAAACACAGTATACACAAACAACAACCAGAAACGCGGAAGCGAAACAACGACCAAAAGCAAAACAAAAAAAGTCAAGGAAAACAAAGTGCCAAAACCTCCAAAAAAAAAAGTGGAAAAAATTAACAACAAATTCAGAGAGTGCGAGAGCGTAAAAAAAAACAGTGCAATATGGGCAACGCGGGTAGCTCGACTGTGCATATGCATCGCGAGCGCCATAAGTCAACGGACCTCTCCACGCCAAGTTCTCCCGCACACTTTCGTGACTCGTTGGGTGGCGGGGGTGGTGGCGGCGGCGGTGTCGTGTCAACTACTGGAGGAGGCGGGGTCGGAGGCGTTGCAGCTCCGGGCGGCGGTGGTGGCGGCCAAGCTTTCTCGTTCGATAAAAAACATACGGCAGTCTTGAACGAGGGTTCGTCGCAAGAAGACGACGACGACTTTTACACGAGAGCGGGAGCTAAGCGCACAACAGCTGTTGATAACGAGTCAACAACAGCAGCCACAGCCGCAGCGGCAGCAGTAGCAGCAGCACTTGAAAGAGATAGCACTATGGATGAGCTAACCGATGAGTATCAAGAGATGCAGGCGACAGGATCAAAGAATTTAGATGAAATGGAATTAAAGAAGACGGCATTGCCCACGGTTCTGCGCTGGGATTATGGTGGCAAAAATGTGACCATATCGGGCACGTTCTCCAAGTGGAAACCGATTCAAATGGTGCGCAGTCATGGCAATTTCGTGACCATCATTGATCTGCCGGAGGGCGACCATCAGTATAAGTTCTGTGTGGACGGCGAATGGAAACATGATCCCAAATTGGTGAGTTCCAGCAGGCTGCACAGTGGAGCAAAATCGATAAGTGCGACACTTGTTTACACTTGCTGACGTACTGCGACTTGAATTTTTCTCTTTCCACTCAAGCGTTGTGTAATCAGCACTGGACTGTAAACAAAACATAATATGGATTTAGCTTTGTGACTGGCAATGCCGAGCAGCTCTGCTTTGCTCTCCTCTCCTCTCCCTCTGCTCGCCCTCTCCTATCTCTCTCATTTCTCTCTGCTGTGTTCTAATTGTTTGTTTTGGTTTGGCTTTTTAGAAAAGTGTGGAAAATGATGAGGGCGATAAGAATAATCTGGTGTCGGTGCGCCCATCCGATTTTGAGGTGTTCCAAGCATTGGCCAAAGACAGCGAGAATGTGCCCAACTATGCGGAGAAGGAATATTCGCAGGAGGTGCCACAGGTGAAGCCCTGGGAGAAGGTGTCTGGACCGCCAGTGTTGCCGCCACACCTGCTGCAGGTCATACTCAACAAGGATACGCCACTATCGGTAATGTATGTGGATTGATTGACGGCTTATAGTAGGGTCAGATTGACTGATTGAGTGATGGATGCGTAGCATAAACCGTAGAAGTATTTGAAGTAGAGATGCATTTGTATGCAATTTCAATATATAGTCAAGCTGATTGACTGACTGACTGATTGAAGATGGAGCAACAGTAGCAGCTGGGCAGCTACACTTGAACAGCATTAGCTTAACGAATCTAAATGGGACAGAATTAGAGAAGATTCATAGGGTAAACTGTAGCAGCTAGATAGCTTTTTGTTTGTTTATTGGTTTGACTCAAGTTTGACTGCGTCATTGACTGCTTGAAGATGTAAGCCTTACCATAGTGCTCCATTTAATATAGCAGCCTAAATGTGGATTGATTAATTAAGTGGGGAAGTGAATTACTGATTGAATATAAGAATAGTGTTAGACTAAAGCTTAGCATTTAGTGTTTAGATATATGCTTGAATATATATATATATATATATATGCTTGACTGAATGACTGTTTGAAGGTGGAAGCGGCAACTAGAGATTTGATTGCATTCAATTGTAATTTAATATGATAAACTGGTTGATTGAGTGCATAACTGATTGAAGTAGAATCTTTAAGCTATAGATTTGTATTTTTTACAGCACTTACCTTTTGCACTGCAGCTACGAACAATTTCCAATATTGAACTAATGCGAATTTCTTATATTTTCCACTCAAATGTAATCAGACATTTTGAGTTTCAGCTGTGTAAAGAGCATAATTGAAACGTGCTTAACTTTTGTCGAAACATCAGTTGCTCTAGTTGCTGTGACCTTTAAAGCTGTGCGCGTGTGTGTGTGTGTTTGTGTGTGTGTGATACGACGTGATCTACATTCGAAAGTCAAGTGCTGAGGCACGCTTAAAGTCTATAGTCTATAGTGTAGGTATGCATGTTATATTTATATTTTGTCTCTCTCTACATATTGCAGTGCGAGCCCACATTGCTGCCCGAACCGAACCACGTGATGTTGAACCATTTGTACGCGCTCTCCATTAAAGACGGCGTCATGGTGCTGAGTGCCACGCATCGCTACTGCAAGAAATATGTCACAACACTGCTCTACAAGCCGATATAGGTCCAGCAGCAATGCATATACAACTCTTTTATAATCTAAAATTTAGCCTAAGCTCTATTAAATTGTTTTCAATTGCTTTCCCCTCTTTATATATGCGAAAAGAATGCAATCTTATGCTTAAGCGTTCTATTCGTTTCGTTTATTTAGTTTAAATATATATCTTTATATTTATATATATATATGGAATTAAAAAATAATATATATATATGTATATATGTATGTATATAGTTGTCAGAGTAAGATTATTGTTCTGTGTCATAGTTAAGTGTTCTTTATATAGTTTGTTTGTTAAATTGCGATTTGCATTTTCTACTCACTAAAAAATATGAATTAATTTTAAAGCCTTTGGTTCACTGTTCCAATTTGATATGTGTCTAATACATATGCATATATGCTAGCGTAAATTTGTTACATCTAACAGCTGTCGAATCGATTAACAAAATAGTTTAGTTTTTATACGTTTTAGTATTTTTTTTAGGTTTTTTGGGTTAATAACACTTTAGATTTTGTTCAAATTTCATATCACAAGTCCTCCAGCTGGTCTCTGCTACACACGTATTTCACTTCTATATATATATATAAATATATAAATATGCTGTCGGTTTTAATTGACATTGAGTTGTAGCTGATTCACATTAGCTTCAGCTTGTGCTGCTCCAGTTGATTCACTAGGACAGCAGCTGACGGCGCGTTCAGAGTCGCGGCCAGCTGCACAGTTTGCTTGGCTAAGAAGCGTTCGTGCATCTTATTTGAGGCTCGCTCGAATTCACCATCCTCATCGTACAATGCTTTGGTAAAATACTCGGTAAAGAGCCGGCACATGTACTGATCCTTGGTCGATGGCCACCAGCCCTCGAGGAAACCAATGTGTCCACCGCGTGCGGTTATTACGATGGCCACATGAGTGCACTGATTGGCTGCTTTGATCGGTATCGCGTCCAGTGGCTGAAACGGATCATCCGCTGCACTCAAACAAAGCAACGGCACACAAATATGATCTAGCTTATTATGCAGCGTGGCATCCGTGTAATAATCATTCACATGCGCGTAACCAAACTGTTTGGCCGTAAACAGCTCATCGAACTCCTTGATGGTCTTGCACTAGAGAAGAATCCTTATTAATCCATGCCTTGTCGCTTGAACAGTTCATTTACTTACTCGCAATATCCGTTGTATGTCAATTTCGGAATCCTGATATATATCTCTGTATATCTCTAAATGGTTACGCAGTGTGCGGCACAGACTGCCAGCAAGATGACGCCCTAACAGATTATTGATGACCGGCTTCTCAATGCTGGCACTACCTTTGTGCACATCCCAGGGCACGGATATTATTTTGGCTGCCGACAGATTTGTACGTGCCTCATCACTCTTCCTGGCCAAATAGTTGCCTGCGGGGACACTTAATTAGTTAAGAATTATTTGATATGCATTGATTCCTCACCTAGTATTAGACCACCCATGGATATGCCTGTGGCGCCTAGCTTACAATTGAGGGGCAATGTGCGACGCACATGATGCACCACCTCGCACAGATCTTCACAGTTGGCGGCACAGTAGAGACGCGGCGTCTTCAGCTCTATGCCGCCCAGGCCTCGATTATTGAAGACAACGACACGCATGCCTGCCTGCTGGGCAGCAAACACCAGACACTTAATATACTCTGCCTGCGATTCGCCCGTCAGACCAGGCAATATCAGAACACAAGGAGCCCGCTCGTCACAGCCTTCTTCTAGCCAGTCCAGCGCTACCTCTCCGCCATCCTTCAGTCTGAGTATTTCACTGTGAGCAAAGGGAGAGATTGTTTAAATATGCAAATATACTTATATACTATTGGCTAGTTCTTATATTAACTGTTTCTTTACACTTATAAGAAAAATAGTTCTCAAAAATATATAAGTAGTTCTTGAAGCAAAGGCACTTTAGAAAGGCAGCTGAATGTGTATATCTGCTCTCTATGATATAAGAAAAATCGATTCAATTAAGTTCAGCTCATATTGCTAGAGTAGCACGAATAATCTGCCAGCCAATTTGAAATCTATATCTATTTAAATTGATTATCTTTATAGTTCTTGAACAAATTAAGGTGGAATAGTTATGATGCTACTTTCGTGGCCTTTATGACGTAGCATAGCATATCTTATTTATTTAAGCTAAGCTATACTATATATATATATATAATCAACCTCGTTCTTCACAAATGGTCATGTGCAATGTTCGTCTGTCTATCCGTCTGAGTGCTACTGAAGCTAGACGTTGGTACTCTCGACTTATGAAGTGTTTAGTTGATGCCGATATAAGACTATATAAGACGATATAACAACTATAACTACAATATTTTGAAGCTGGAGTTCCACGACTTGGCTGTTAAGTTACTCCAGACGACCACCTGAGGCTTACCTAATATGATTCAATGGCTTTTGAACCATGAAAGAGCATTATGACTTCGATGACGCCCCAGTGCAACTTTCTTACATGTTTAAGTATAGAATTCAATTGGATTGAATTGCCTATTAGCGCGTCTAGTGTAAATCTAATCAATATATATATTTTTTTTTAAATATCGTATATGCCTCTGCCTACAGCATATGCCATTGTTCAGTGAGTGCTGCGTATCTTTTTATTAATTGAGTTATATTTATTATGATGTTTCTGCCGAGCAATCTGTGTTCAGTGCAAGACCTTTTTAAATTGCATGCCATGCTAAAAAGTCTGTCATACTTTATATGGCTTCACGGGTCAGGGAAGTGTAGCTGAATGGCTGAATAGCTGAGCAGTGACAATGACTTACCGTCGATAATCGACACGGGGCAAACTCTTGGAGCGCAGCAGGCTCGCAAGTACAGTCTGTGCCCGGCTCTCCACACACCAGAAGGTCGGCCAATATTTGTGCTCCAGCGTGGGCATCTTCTTGAAAAGATACTGCTTGAACGGACCCTCGGCGCAGGCAATGATCGGACGCTGAATATCGAGTTACGAAATTTCAGTTAGTTAAAGCTAAAGACAGAAGTCTAAGCTGTTGCGTAAGTACGGACTGCTCACTCACCTTTACCACCTGGATGAGGTAATAGATGACATAGGCAAATACGGCTATGCCGAGGGCGTGCAGGCGCGGCAGGTGCGACAGGTACGCGTACATTGAATAGAACATACTGACTGACTGACTGAATGGCTCCGTGTGTATTCCTCGACAAGTTGATTTGCCACTTTGATCCCGAGCGGTGCAGCGGCTGCAATTTCGGATTTAAGGCGTGTAAAATAAAAAATTACAATTTGTGACAATGGCAACCGTGAAACTTATACATATGTATATGCACATATCTATCTCTATCTCTATCTATATCTATATGAAAAATTTGCTGAATGGAACTACAGACGTTGTCGTTGCCACTACTTGGCCTGATATGATATGATCTGTGCATGTGTAAATATATACATACAAATATATGTATAAGTATATATACGATTAGATGGAGGTATGGGCTTTGAGCTGTGAGCTGTGAGCTATATCTTATCGCTCTGATACCCTTGCAATGGGCATATTTCGCTGCATAATTGCTTTTGGTATGCTTTATAACAGCAACACCAAGTCAAGTTGCGTCGATATAGCATAAACTATATACCCTTTCTAAGAAATTACGATCATAACTCTATAGGTATTCCCTCTGCAGTTGACAAATGACCAACTGCTACGATCTTAATTCAAAGAGACTTACGATATTCCCTCTACTGTTTACATGTGCAAATGTTACGATCTTCACTTAAGTATTCTTACGATATTCCCTCTACAGTTTACATATAGCCAAAATCTTATCAGTAACGAACCATTATCACACATATATTAGTTTTCAAGATATATCAAATATATTTTTTCGCACTATGCTGACAATATCTGAGCAAAGTTTAGACTACATCGGAACACCTTACCCGAAACACAGCTACCATTTGCAAGGGTATTTAATCAGCGACAAATTGAAGATAAGTCTGCTTTCTGTAGACTTTTAGTATGCATGATTTTTATTCAGTTGCATCTGTATTAGTTTTAATTGATAGAATGAGGTGCTCATAACAGCTGACAGTCGGTCGAGCAGGCGGCCGGGCGAAGAGGCAAGTGAGCTCGAACTCGAGACGTGTTATCAGATCGTTTAATTTAAAACTTATATAGGGCTTATCTCGCACACTCACAGCAGTTCCTGTTTAAATCGTAGATGTTGTCTTTGTGGGTTTCGTCGTTGTAATAGTTGTTGTTGTTGTTGCTGTGATGTTTGTTGCTGCTGTTGGTATCGAGAGACTGCAGCACTCGAACTTCTGCTTGCACTATGACTAAACATTACCGCGACTCGTCCAAAATTTAAAAATTGATAATTGAGTTTTCGATTTTTTGACGTCATCGTCATCATCGCCGCCGCAGTCTTCAGCGGCGGGTGCACAAAGGCGCCAAACATAACTTCTGGGCAGCAGTGTAAATAACTAACAACTAATTGTGCTTATCACTAGCGAGTGCCACTACCATATGAATATCTTTGTATATGTGTATTTTTTATGTATGGCGTCTACAACTAGATAAAGTATATTGTACACTTTTATTGCCGCCTTGCATAATATAAGGTTCCAATGAAATGAGGACTTGTGCGCTTACCTTGAAGAAATATATATATAAAATAAAAAGAATAACAAAATTTCAAAAATAATAAAATTTAGATAATTTATATGTAGGTGTGACACACCAACTTCAAAAAAAAGTCGAAATGATATTTATATATATTTAAATGATATATTGCCAATGGCTTACAAAACAACAATGAGCCATGATTCGTGGTGTTTCTAGCTTTTGGCCTGGTAGCGGGCTCCGTTCAAAAGTCAAAATGGCCGTTGGCAGCAATGCGCACATACTCTTACATATAAACACGCAAACGCACACACACACGAGCGGAATACTTACATAGATTATTGAGTTTTTGTCTTGGCATCACGTGCAACAACAAAATCAATAGCCAGGGCCAAGGGTATGGGATGTGAACCTCTGTACTATTTATAGTGGCGATGAAGGTGGGTGGTGGTAATTATCGTGCCAATTATGACGCACGCATCATATATGTATAAAAAATATAGTATATTATTTCACTTGCCTTTTTGACAAGTTTTTAAGCAAGAGACGCTTTAATTGTCGTATCCTGCTTTTTTATTTATTTTCCTATTTTATAGGAAAGGAACTTTCGTTTCGGGCTCTAACACTTGATGTAGCGAACAAATTATATAATAACAGAACCGATAACAGATATTGTATGCACTTTTTACATATAAACCTTGGAAAGAATAAAATTGTAACGAACTTCAATTGTAAACAAAAACAAAAGGTGCACATGTAAAAATAACTGATGTTCAAATGAACTGAATGGTTCGCTCATTACCTAACATATCGCTGCTGTTGACTGCTGATAACAGCCACTCTAACTATATATTTTGCTTTTAATTTTTGATGCTTCATATATGTAAATATAACACATTTTGATAATAAATAATTATTTAATTAATATAAGCTAAAATAATAGTGTATCAATAAGTGAAAGCTATGAATGCGTAGTTACTCTGCCATTTGAATTTAGCCGCGGTAAATTTTTCGTTTGTTTCCTGATGATGAAGACTGCAAAATAGTCAAATTGGGTTAAATCTAAGTAGTTTTAAAAGAAAATTTTATTGCATTTGGTCAAAAAATTAAAATTTTAAAAATTGTACAATTCAATTTGTCTAGCAGTACCAAATGAGTTGATTACTGAAAATAAATGTCAAAGTTGTGAAACATCGTGAAAGTATCGAAATAAGCAGCTAACTTGTAAAATGTTGAAATCACCACATATAGATTGTCATCGATTAATATTGCCGTTTGATTTAAATATAACGGCTTTAAAAATAAATAAGCACTTGGTTATTATTTATGCATAGTGGTGTAACAGGAAAACTTTATAATAAATAATATTTAGTAATATTTTGAAACAAAACCGTTGACGATAGTTATCGAAATAAATCGCAACGTTGCTTAAATACCTTATTAATAGTACAAATTTTGAATTATCAAATTAAATAAATAGCATAATTATGATATCTATTAATCAACAGAATTTCCGCTAGTGGCACTTGGGTAATCAAAACACTATTAAAGGCTAATAGGAATTATATGACTACATTTACTATTATATCCGTGTTGGGAACCTGTTGGTAGGGTATCTGAGTCTGATTAAATTGGAGATGTCCATGTCAATATTAATGCAAATGCAAAGTAACATAAACTGAAACTTGCAACTTATTTCTTATCTTCTTCAAGCTCTGTTCTTGTATACCTATCTATAAGTATACATATTAAAAGCATATATATATATATATAAATATATTCCAGTCGTAAGAGCTGCACAATACAATTTTGTTATCGCACTATATATATATATATATCCGCACTCTATATACATTGAGGCATATAATTTCTTGTTAAGTATATACTTTGAAGCCAGATCTGTACAGTACCACTTTGCTAATGCACTCGGAATGAACGTTTTACTTGCTTTGTCTTTGGTCCTTTATGTGGCACTAAGTTTTGGGATAACTGAAGCTGATGAAAATTGTAAGTATATATAAATTAAGCCTTCAGGATTTTAATAAAATATTGTATTTAAAGATGAAAATTGCGTAAGAAAAGACGGAATCTCTGGTGCTTGCGTTCCTTTAAATAAATGCCCAAGGATCTTGCAACTCTTCAATGAGTACAAGACTATTTCAAACAAAGATAAATTATATCTTCGTAACTCACAATGCCCAAATAGAAAAAAGGTTCGTATATATACATACATATATCGATTAGATTCTGCAATAACCAAACTGTTCTCTTGAACAGAACCATGTCTGTTGCGAAGAAATGAGTCCAGGCATGAGATTGCTGAATGACCAAGATTGTGGATACTTTGGTGGAAAAATCAAAACAGTCGGTGGTAACAAATTAAAATTAATGTCCAGACCTTGGATGGCTCTTCTTAGGCTTCAGATAAATGGCACAAGCAAATTCGCATGCGGCGGCACTCTAATAACACCACGTGAGGAACTGTCAATTAAAATATACGATTTCATGTTTAATTCAATTAATTTTTTTTAGGTTTTGTTCTAACTGCCGCGCATTGCATTGAAGGGAATAACGAGTTCAAGCTGTGAGTGCTAAATCTTTATACAAGGGTGATATATATATAAATATAGAGTTCGATGGCGAATTAATTAGATCTTATTAGTTGTTGTGGCTGTCAATCGCAGAAGCCACAGCACTCGTTATTTAAGGCTGATAGACAGAAAGACGCGTAGCAGACCTTATCAGGACGACGAGCAGAGTCGATCTAGCCTCAACATTTGAGGCGTATACGGGTCTATACCATACGTATTACAAGTTTATCTTTTTTTCGATAACTCATCCCATTTCCTTATCGATCAAAAACGATAAATCGCAGCTTGAATAACGTAAATGTAGCAGACTTTAGATTTACTGTGTAGGATCCAGTAACGAATACATATATGTTCGATTTGGGATGCCTCTCCCTTCCCCTAAATTCACCAAAACGTATTTCGAACACTAGAGACTTGTGCTTAGGCAAATACCAGCATATGGTTGCCATAAGTTGATGCTTGATTTCTGAATTATTTGGCTTCGTCGTTCTGCGATTTCCGCGAACCTTATCAGCCAAGTGCTTACTTCAAATAATTTCGATTGTATGTATGTTGACTCATTATACTGTGTATACTTATACCGTAGAGTTTACGTGCGATTGGGAGAACACAGCATATCTAATAAAGAAGACTGCGATGTGATTAATAATCAGACAAGGTGTGCGCCGCCATATCAGGATGTGCTCCCAGAACGGACATTTACACACAAGGACTACAATCATTTTAGTGGGGTCAATGATATAGCATTGATAAAGCTTTCTGAGGACGCAAGAACCACACGTAAGTTGTCAAATAAGTGGTGCTTAAAGGCTTATTGATTATGCATTCATTTCGATTTGTGTGCCACAGGAAATATTCGACCCATTTGCTTGCCCCTAAATGATACACTTCAAGAGTTGGCCGAAACTTTGTCAGATTTCAGAGTAACTGGTTGGGGCTTTACCGAGGCCGGAATTTTTTCTGATGTTCCAACAGAAGTCGAAGTGCCTAGGAGAACTTGCCGACAATCCTCACAAAGACAAGTAGAATCTACTCAACTGTGCGCTGGTACCTTAAACAGGGACTCCTGTCGAGGCGACTCTGGTGGTCCCCTGTTCGAACTCACCGGCTTGTATAAGGAATCGCAGAAATTCGTTCAGTTCGGCATAGTTAGCTACGGCTCACAGCGCTGCGGCGATGGACATCCCGGTGTCTATACAAACGTTGCCCACTTTATGCACTGGATATCAGATACAATTGGCAACAACAACTAACTGTTGTCATCTATGACACACATCTTCTATGTATATAACTATATCTATACATTTATGTACACATGTTCAAAAATATTATATTAAATAAATTTATCCAGCACTAAATCGCAATGGTTTCCCTTAATTGAGTCAGGCGTTGCGCATTCGTTAGTTTCCAGGTGACGCAAGATAAGGATGTGATGAAGAAGCCAATGCCTGCGATTGAGGATTGCATATAGAATACTGATCCAAGGATCGACTTCACACTTACCCATTAACAGAATAGCCTCGGATGTGTCATCGTGCCATGCCTTGGATACCACACAGAGCAGTATAAAGCCACTGAGCAGGCAAAAGGAGCCAACGAGCACGGTCAAAGTGATGAGTATGATGACCGGATCGGGTGATCGGGGCGTCTTATACGGAAACAGCAGTGGACAGAGAGAGCTCCTCTTTGAATCGGTGCTGCACAACGAGAAATTCAAACTCAAACAATCGCTGCCTAAGCAAACATCTCGATACACACCTGGACTGAGCATAGGTAGGCAGAGTAGGCACACTTCTGCATTCCATGACGCTGCACGTTGCACTGGACTGGCCTTGGTGGCAGCATCCACTATGTTTCTAAATATATTTATTTTTATATACCTATAGCAGCCAGCTGTCTAGTCGAATCGGATGGGGCTGCATATTTATAGCTACATAGGAAGTGCCGGATTCTGAGCTGCAGCGGAACTAAGCGGAACAGTCAACAGCCAACAGCCAACAGCCAACAGCGAACAGCCGTTGGAGTCGAGCGTTCTATATTTAGAAACATTTACGTGTCTCGAGTTCAATGCGCTTCCCGCCCCAAAATCAATTAGGTATACGAATCGAGCAATATCCTATCGATGCAGTCCCTGAAACGTATTTCATTCAAATAATTCTTACTTATAAGAATTCATAAGTTTGTAATATTTATAATTTATAATTTATGAAAGGCTCAACTGAATTTGGAATGTTATCAGCATACTTCATTGTCTTCATATACGATATACAAGGTTAGCTTGAAAATGGTTCCGCTTGTCCATGAAGTAATTTGAATTGCATGATTTTTACTAAAATTTCATTTTTAATTTTATTAAATTTATTAAGTAATTTAACTTAAATTTCATTTAATTTTTATAGTTTAAGTCGGATATTTTTAGAACAGCCTCCGTTTAGGTTCGGCTTTGCCGCTATTTTCAATTGATCAGAATTTCAGCATTTGCAAATTTCTCTCGCTCTCTTGCCTCCCTCTCTCTCTCTCTTGTTCTCTAAGTTGAGCCCTCTCTCTGCGTTACCTGGTTGGGCTGTCTTACCTGTAGATGTTTGAGTTTGAGTTTAGTCAATAGCGCATCCTTGACAGGATCAAATCAGTTACGAGAATGTTGCAGTGGAAGGTATTGCTGCTGGCTCCGGCTTTCTACATGCTGCAGCTGCCACATCGCATTCTGTGCAAAATATCCCATTTCTGCCATTTGCCACAATTCCAACGCCAAATGCGGTAAGTGCAACAAAATAAAAGTAAATACTGAATTTCAGAGTTTCTAAATTTGGTTTCTTTGCTACAGATTTCTGGAGTCTTATCTGTGGCCTGTTTAAGTGCCGCCCAGAGCCCAATTAATTCAACATTTTGCTCAAAGAATATTTTTGCGCCGCAATTCCGATAATTTAAAATTCGTCTCACGTACATCTGAGTGCTCGCATGCCAAGAAAAAGAAAAAAAAATCAAAATAAATAAATAATTTGCATGGCTGTCAAATGTTGCGCTTTGAAATTGAAATGCCAGTTGAAAGATCTGCAGAGTGGGAGATACACAACTGTCAGAACTTTGGGGTTTTCTCCCCAGTACTCTGTAATGTCGCTCTGCGGGTAAAACACAAGCTCACATACACACAAATCCACACCGTGCATACACAATGCGAGCACTTCTAATAAAAGTGGTGAATTGCTCGTTCCGCCAGTTAGTTCATTTGCTACGCTTGATAAGTGCACACAATTTCTTCTAATTATCGTTATCGACAATGTCCGATAGTAATCGTAGTTTTCCCAATCGCGCCATCGGCTATGTTGCGCGCGCCTTGGCCCTTGCCAGTTTATTCCTTGTCATGAGCGCCATCTACCGGGAGGACGATCAGCCGGGATCCTACTACATACATCCCAGACGGAATGTGCAGTAGCCATTCCGTCCTCGTTGCCTAAACTTAAGCTAATTTTAAATGTTTTTTTATGAATTAATCTAAATAAAATATGAGTAACTTAGAAATAGTTTCCGCGTAGATAATGTCATAGTACACATCCTGACTTCTCAACATGAATTGAGTTATGCATATATTATACGTTTATGCATATACATATTTAATAAAATATTGCTTTATCGCAAGTTATCTGGGGAATTCTCCCAATACAATTAAGTGATCGGTCATAAAAAGCTTTTAATAGTTTAATGTGGAAAACAAGTTGCGATGCAGAAAACACGTTTTCTAAATGCTATTAGAATATGATATTAATGTAGCTCTTAAGCTATTCAATATTTCTCCGGCTACTAATTAGTTGTAAAGTGGTTTTGTTCCATTCAACTCATTCGTTGCGCTTGGTGCAGGTTCTGTAGAAATTTTTGCATTTGCTCGTTGCTTGTTATCGTCGTAGTCGTTGTTGTTGATAGTTTTTGAGCTTTGAGCTTCGATTCGGCCTGTGCCTTACGGGCACTTCGACTTCGCAGTAGAAGTTTCATATCTGCAATAAGAGAGATGACTGAATGCCAATTAAACAATTCGGTTGAAAATGATATCAGAGCCTAAGAAATTTGCTGCTTTATAGCAAAGATAGAGCTATAAAAGCTAAAGCAAATATTTATGTCTCTGGCAGGGCTTTGGCAATTGTATAAACACCTTTTTTGCCTGTTTCCTGTTGATTTTCTGTTCAGCTGCATTCAGCTCTTGAGTTCTTTCAACTGGCGTTCGCTGAAATCTCTCTGTCAAAATTACAGCTCCCAGGCTAAAGAAAACAAAGTGTTCGCTTTATATATGTGATTTTAAAATATATTCATTTATTTATGTAATTTTGATTTACTTTTTGGTGAGCTTAAATGTGGGCATGGCTTAGACTTTTTATTCGCAATAACATCAGCTTGAGTCTAATCCTATGTGACCTTGACATATATTATCGAAAGGTTGGTTTGAATCGGAAAAAACATTTTCAGTCTTTACTTAATGTTTGTTTACTTTTCAACAGCTTGAATTATTCTTGTCAGTTTAAAGATAAATAGCAAGACACAGAAACATAAATAATTTGCATATATTTGCAAAAGATGTTATTTAGGAAAGCTGTTTAACGTTAGATGGCGCAGATAGTCGCTGCCCTTGACTGCTGCTTCTAATGAGTAACAATAGATGGCGCCAGTAATAAATGCTTATATTTACTTTTACATATACTTTTTCAGTTATATTAACAATTAAAATCAAAGCTTAAGGTATAAGCTGCAGCACATCTGTCTTATCAAGGTCAGGCACTCGAAACTTGACTCGCTGCAATCAGTTCAACGAAGGGTAAGTGACTGATTAAATGCATTTAACTATATTTAATAAACTAAATAAATTTCTATATTTTTTCGATATTAAAACATTAATTCCAACATATATTTAAATCACTGGCTGGATGCAGCTGCAGTTCTTGCCGGATCAAATTCTCGGCTGTTAATCTCACTACCGATATATCTCTAGTATATATTTATAAGTATATATGTATGTTATAATGTGTGTTAATTATAACATGTATGTATACATTTTATGTCTTATTTTCTTATCTGTTGATTTTGTTAAATTCAATATTATTAAATCGTAATATTTTTATAATTAAAAGAAAAACGGATTAAAATGTATTACAAAACACTCAAACGTCTAATTTTCTTATTCCCAATGGTAGGAAGAAACTTCATTAATTCTTACAAAATTCTATATAAATCTCAGCCAAAGTACCAGGCGAACAGAAACAGCTGCAGGCAGATGGCGCTCAACGATGCAAAATTTCATTGCATACACGACAGCTGCAGGCAGGCGACGCTCAACGCAATGCACAATTCCATTGCATACCAGGCAGGTATCAATCGATAGTCCTCGTTGTTACAATCTAAAGTAATTATAGTTGCCAAACATCCAAAGGCGTTGGGTTGACTTATAGCTTAGGAAAATATGGTCTATTGTATAGAAAAAATTACTCAAACCTAGTCCTTTACTTGCGCAGGACGAAAGCACAGGGAGGTTCAAGACTATGAGCAACATCCTCATCGATCATCATTATGGGGTCATCTAAGAATCCAGGAATTGTTTTAGTTTTGCGTATTCACATATATTTCATATTTATGGTACATTTAAAAATTTATATATAACATAACTATTGCTATATTAATTTAATTAGGGTGTTTAAAATTTTAAAACTACTTATGGCTGTAATGCGGCTAAATAAAGTGTGATTTGAAATCGTTAAGGTTTGGGGCAATTACATTAAAGCCGAAAAGTATGCAGTGTAATTTATCAGTCATAAGTGTGTGATGCAGCACAAGAGTATGCTGCATTTTCTGAACACAACTTAATTTATTGACATGCCCAAAAGTATGCACTGATAATGTTGAATTTACAAAACGTGTGTAACGGGCATAAGTATGCAGCATTTTCTTTATTGGTTCATGTCTACGATTTGATTTATTGACATGCCTAAAAGTATGTACTAATAATTTTGAATTTTGAATGTGTACGCTTGGAGTCTTGCTGCAACTAACGATTTAAATCGTTCGAATGACTTTCTGAAAATATATATATCTGCTTTTATTAAAATATTTATTTATTGTAATTTTTAGCTGGTTTGTATTAGGATATAATGCTAAAACCTAAAGTTACATATTGCAATTGATTTTATAGACTTTTATGGTTGAATCTTATCAAATCCTCAAACATTTAGAGTTAACTTACACATTGCATAAAATATCTACAACTTTTACATTTTGGGCTGGTGCATGCATTTTATATACATATAGAAAGTCGCTATCTTAGAACTATTTGCATATATACAATAATTAATAATTAATAACTAATAATAATAATAAAAAATACAAAAGGATGCATTTCTATGGCAATGGACAAAGGAATTGCTCTCAACTGGTTTACTTGTTGAAGTTCTCAATTTGCTGGAGCACCCAGCTGCGCGACGCCGCCTGGCTGAGATGTGGTGGGCAGAGTACCACACTTGGATGATGCTGTCCCAGAAGTTCCTGTAGCGTTGTTTTCGTTGGCTTCGGCGCTATCTGTGGCGGAGACGGATGACGCTCGGAGCCATTCGCAGGCGGCGGAGGTGGTGGACTTCGTGGCCGCTTCACATCGTAGTCAGTGCTGCGCTTCTCGTTGTTATCGTCGCTGTAAATGGCCGAATCGCGAAAATCGTTCTCCAAACTGTCCTCCACATGCTGCTCATACTCAAATCCGGATGCAGGCAGCTCGGCGGCCGAGCGTTTGCGTTGCTGATCGCACATGCTGTCGCTGGAGGTGCACGAGGAGGAGGTCAGCGAGAAGACCGAGTCACGCTGCAGCGATGCCTCCGAGCCGGCAATGATGCTGAACAACGTCTTCGGATCGGCATAGTCGACATGGGCCATGCGCTCGCCCACTGCCTCGCTGCCTTGGCGATGCAGAATGCTCTGACGACACATTTCGCTGACATCGGAAACGCGTCGCTCGGGCGGACGATTCGGAGTGCGTCCAAAGGCCATGGTCAGATTGTCGATGGACTTGAGAGCACGCGGCAGCAGCGAGATCTCCGAATGGCTAACATTTTGACCGCTCGACGCGCCATTGCCATTGAGCAGTCGCTTCACAAGGTTCTTTGGTATGGGACGCGCGTAAAGCGCATCGATCTGATCGGCCTCTGAGTTGGTGGACTCCAGGCTCAGATTGATGACAGTGGTTTGGCTGTCGCGCTTTACAGTTGAGCCCGAGCTCGATTCAGAGCCGGTGCTGTCCCGCTGTTCCTGCTGCTGCACCGCATCCTCGCCCACGCGCTGCAGTACGCCATCCGGCGAATAGACGAGCGTCACGTAGTCCGACTCGGGTCGTGGGGCTGGCGTTCGCTTCTTGAAATACTGCACAGACTTGGCGCGACCCAGGACAGGTGAGAATTTATAGGGCACATGCACGTTGCGCAGCAGCGTCTCATAAATGGGCTCCTCTTCCTGTTGCTGCTCCTGCAGCTGCTGCAGCTGATCCGCCTCTAGCGGCGGCGGCGAGCGCGATGGCGGGCGTGGCGGCAATGGAGGCGCCTCTTCGGGACCGGGACTCAGGGGCGTCGTAGCCTGGCTGCTATCGCGCCGTTGCTTCTGCTGTTTGTTCTTATTATAGATGCGCTCGAACTCCTTGTTGTTCTTCAGCAGATCCAATACGATCTCCGCATCCCGCTTCGACTTCTCAGCTGGCGCTGGCTGCGTGTCTAGCTCGCTGGCATAATACTGTTCCGCCTTCGTCTCCTGTGCCTCTTCGGCCAGCTCGAGGTCCTCAGTGGACTCGGTGATCTTCAGCACGGCCGAGCTATCGAATTCGCTGAGATCCATGTAGAACGTGGAGCAGCTCTCCTTGCGACTGCCACTGCTGCTGCTGCTGCTGCCGCGTTGCTTCTTCAGCGTGGCAATGCGCTTGGGCATTGTCTTGTGATTGTATTGCTTCACCTCGAAGAAGCCCTTGCCCTTGACCTTGCGCTCGCTGAGATCGGGTTTGCTGCCACGCAGCGAGGCGGCGCTATCATCGTCTGCTTCCCTCTGCTGCTGCTGCTGTTCGTCGAGGCTGAAGCCACTGATGCGTGGCACCGACTTGCTGCGCTCCTTGAGCGCCTTGTAGCTAAAGACAGGACTCTGCGACTTGGTGCGACTGCGTTGATCCCGCAATATGCACACGCACTGCTCCTGATCCTGCTGCTGTGCCTCGCACTTGCAGTGCTCCTTGCTGGCACTGGACTTGAAGTCACGCTTGCTGCGATAGCGTACAGCTGCGGCCAGCTTCTGCAGCGCAGTGTCATCGAAGCTGTTGTTGCGCGCCAGCGGCTTGACCGGCTTAGCGGCAGCTCCTGCTGCCGTTGCCTGCTCCGGCGCGGGCTGCTCCAGGGACTCATTGAAGCTGTCAAAGGAACTGGAGTTGGTCAGCGTCTTGCGCTTGAACTTGGAATTGCGCGAACGTATTTCGCTGCGCCGACAGGCGTTACGTCGCTCCAAGTAGGTGGGCGTCGAGTTGCTGCTGGAGTTCAGGCTCCACTTCCAGGTGCTGCGATCGGGCGTGCGATCTAACCAAAGCACAAAAAAAAAAAAACAAATCAAAGAACAATTAATTTCAAGCAGTTGCACAGTCGAGTCAAGGCGAAGCGAGGCAAGGCAAGCAGACGCTGAAATGAGAGTATGATCAAAGTCGAAGGACGAACCAGCAACGTTCTCTAAGCACTAGCAAACCCGAGCAACTGCATCAACAAAGAGCCATAACCGTGCCTACAAGCATGCATATATATGTACACAGTTAATGGGATAACTCGACTCAAGGACACTCGCTTCAAATGGCACTCGATTAAAGTAAAGTGTGCATAGGAACTGAATAGAAAAAGTTCTTAGAGACAAGGCTTGCTTATAGCTAAAAGCTCTTATATGGACAAGGGCTTTGTCTATGCCATGTACTAAAAAGTTCCCTAAAAGCTTTAAGCTTTCACTAACAATATATGTTATAAATAATTATCTAACTTTAAATTCTTATTTGTCTATCTGATTCTATTTGATTCTTGGGCACTTAATTTTAAGATGAACTTTGAAGAGCTTTTGGTATTGCTTAGGTAGCTTTTATCTAGCTTTTATGTATACTATATATATATACTATATATATACTCTCTGAATAACACTTGCCCGATTAATACTTCGTTTTATGACTCAGTCTTGGTTGTTATATCTATTTCACTATCTGATTAATCGAAAGCTTTCAGATTTATTTTAATGTCCACTTCACAATAACTAACTAGAAGTTTTTCATATTTAAATATACTAAAGCTACTAAAAAGCTTTCTGCTAACTGGCTTAGTCCCAACTTGTAGAGCTTTGTCAAGTTTATTAAAGCTTTAGAGTAAAAAGCTTTTTCTCTAACTTTAAGTGCCAGCCACAAGCTGAAGTGTCCTTTAGAGTTGATGTATTCCAGGCGATTTCACAGTTAGTAGCGTGTGCATGCTGATCAAGCTTAATGGGGTTAGGAATGCGTACATGCTGGACGTAGGACCAGTGGAGCAGATAGAAGCCGATTAGAGTAAAGTTTCACAAGCCAAGTTAAGGAAGAAAAACGTTTGTAAATTGATAAGTCGAAATACTTACTAGGCAGCGACCGGGTATATCAGATTAATAAGACTACGTCAGCGCGCCGCAAATACCAGACAATTTGAACTAATTACGATTACGATTACGATTACGATTACGATTACAGTTTAACGATAACGATTGGCAGTTAAAAGTTAAAGATTTACTAAAAATTATATTTTAATTCAATTTTAGTTTTTTGTTTTCTGTGTTTTTATTTTGGGGGAGTTGGGTTATAGAAGAAGGTAGCGCTTAGTTATTCAGTCTCTGGTGTTTAGCCTTAGGGAACGCCTTAGAAACTAATTAAAGTTTTCTTTTCTTGTATAGCTTGGGTGGTTTAGTTTTAAATTGCGTCACTGGTAGTACTACAACGGTAAACATATAGCAAAAATATAAGTGTATATAAAGAGTATTTATCGATAATAGTTAAGACAGTTAAGGACAGGTACTAAAGCTAAATGAAGAGTTACACCAATAGAGTTTCCTTTAGTTAGTCAAATGTAAGCCTTAAACCAATTATGTAACATTATGCAGGCGTCATAAATTTGATGGCAAGTACAGTTGCGCACAAAGCATGTGCAATTAAAAAAGCACACACACACACACACAGACAGACATAAATCAACTTGAGAGAGTCAGATGTGGCACGATTTTAGCCACATAAAAGGAGCTTAGCGAGAAAATAAACTAACTGAAAAGTATTTTAAGACATGGTTATGTCACTTGAGCTCAGTCCCAGCCAGCAGGCTGAAGAGTCATGTGAAGTGCAGCTACACTGCAAGAAAACCAACTAGCTCTAGACAAGACAGAGCGAGGCAGAAAGGGAGCTTTTAAAATCTATTACTACGCCTATAATTGCGAGCTTTAAAGCGAGCTTTAATAAAAAGTTAAAGCTTTTTAAGACACTTGAATTTGCAGCATTTTCAGCTCAGCTTTCATAGTGTTTATATACATGAGTGAGCTTTAAAAAGCTTGCTTATTAAGCTATGTCTTTCTATATATGAGAGAGTGCTTAGATTAACTTTGTTTGCATCACTATTAAGCTTTAATGTTGAGCTAATTTAATGTCAAATAAAAGCTTTAAGCTTTCAATTGAATTGCTGAACTTAGGCTTCCTATCTTAACACTTATAAATCTTTAAAGGTTCAAAAGCTCTGTGAAGCTTGCAGTTTTTATTATTTTTAACTATGTTTTTATACTTGATAGGAACTAAGCTTTTGACAGCTGCTTTAACAGACTCTTTTAGTTATCATGACTTAGTTCAAAGAAAGCTGTTTAAATTTATTATATTTCTTGAAATCAAACAATCATCGAAAGTAAGCTTTAAGTAAAACTTAAAGCTGCATGCAAATAAAGCTCTTATTAGCTTTTATCACTGTGCTGCTCTGCTACTTAAGCTCCAAAACTATTCATAGCTTTGTTGGCAGTGCAAAAGCTCTCTAAAAGCTACTCATTCTAAGCTACTTTGCCAGCGTATTTAATGAGCTTTAAAAGCTAAACGTAGCACTTCAGCAACTTTTTTTAACAGTGCATTTGCACGTGTGCCCGCATAACTGTAACTACACTACATCATCATAGCCTGCCATAAGGTATTGCAAAAAAAGGCACAAAAACAAAAGCAAGCAAACAGTGACAACGACAACGACAACGACAACAACAACAACATAGAAGACAAACATTCAAGACACACAGGTAGCAGCTATGCAAAAACAAAAACAAAGAAAAAGAGAGTTGATGGGCTGCTTAAGGCAGACTGCAGCTGAGGCTCACCTTCCTCGTTGCCCAGCTGGTAGACGAGCTCCTTGGCACGAGTGGGTATATCCAGCTCCTCGAGCATAACACCTTTAATGTGCTGCGTCCAGATGCGCTTCTGGTCACGATTTCTGGCCGTCAACTTGATTTGATTGCGCGGCTCATCGAAGGGTATGACATAGAAGCTGGTCGGCTCCCCGGGCAAATGTTCGCTTAACATTAGATTCTTTTGCTGCAGAGAGAGAGAGAGAGTTGGGTTGAGTTGAGCGAATCAATTGGGTCTTGGGCTTTTGGGCTCTATTTACGGTTATGAGGCTCTTGAACTGCAGACGACCGTCCTCCTTTTGCTTGGTAATGATCAGCATCGTCTCGAAGAGCAGCACCTGACGCGGCTTGTTGTGCTGCTCCATGAGCAAGCCCTCGTGCCTCAGTTCACGCAGCACGCTCAGATCTGCAACGTCATTGGGAGCATGATTCTGGTTAATGCCCGCCTGGCAGCCAGACAGCTAGAGCAACTCACCTGGTCCCATCCAGCCGTCGAGTATGCCGGACAGCTCCTTGACACGACTCTGTTGCTCCTGCTGACGCTTCACCTGGTCTATGTGATGCGCTACCTGTCGCATTATGGCATACGCCTCAGCTACCTCCTTCACATCGCAGTGCTTGCGCAGGCTCTGAAAGTGGGAGATGGAACGGGGCGGCTGTTGCTTTAAGCGCTCATGTTCAAGGCGAGCTGCCGTCTCTGGCTCTACTTACGTCCAGCAGCAGATGGTACTTGAGTATGCGCTGCACCGGTTTCAGCAGATAGGAGCCGAGGGGCAGGCGATGTTGCAGCAGCTTCTGCGTGGAGGCCAGCAACGAATTTGTGTGCTTCGCCTGCAGCAGTTTGGTCAGCAGCGAGATGGCTTCCGGGTAGCTTGTGCTGTGAGACAAAAGAAGAAATATATATATATATATATAAATATATACAGATGAACATATAGCCGCTGATTTATGAATACGACTTTGAGCTCTTCATCAGGCCAAACATCAAGAAATTTGAATTTAAAATCAGCTTGTTGGAGGAGTTGCACACATGATGTATGCCCAGCTGTCAGTCGGGGCGACAAATCAAACGGCGGCCAAATTGACAGAAAACGAAAGAGAAGCCAGAGCCACAGCCAGAGCCACAGTCAGAGCCACAGCCAGAGCCAAATGTCAGCGCCTAAATGGAACATCGAATAAGGCGACCATGGCGTGCTTCGACTGCCAAAGCTCCACTCAAAGTCAATGTTCGTGTCTTAACTGCAATCGAGATCAGTTTTTTTTTGTTTTTTGGCCAGTCCAGTTAACCGTTCTTGGCCAGACTATCTAAGATTTGGCAAACACGCCAAGCGCTTGGGGAAATAACTTGAAGACTTGTCTACAAAATACAAATCTAAGAATAGGACAGAGAAAGAAAGAGATAGAAAGAGAAAGAGAGAGAGAGAGAGGGAGAGAGAGAGAGGGAGAGGGAGAGGGAGAGGGAGAGGGAGAGGGAGAGGGAGAGGGAGAGGGAGAGGGAGAGGGAGAGGGAGAGGGAGAGGGAGAGGGAGAGGGAGAGGGAGAGGGAGAGGGAGAGGGAGAGGGAGAGGGAGAGGGAGAGGGAGAGGGAGAGGGAGAGGGAGAGGGAGAGGGAGAGGGAGAGGGAGAGGGAGAGGGAGAGGGAGAGGGAGAGGGAGAGGGAGAGGGAGAGGGAGAGGGAGAGGGAGAGGGAGAGGGAGAGGGAGAGGGAGAGGGAGAGGGAGAGGGAGAGGGAGAGGGAGAGGGAGAGGGAGAGGGAGAGGGAGAGGGAGAGGGAGAGGGAGAGGGAGAGGGAGAGGGAGAGGGAGAGGGAGAGGGAGAGGGAGAGGGAGAGGGAGAGGGAGAGGGAGAGGGAGAGGGAGAGGGAGAGGGAGAGGGAGAGGGAGAGGGAGAGGGAGAGGGAGAGGGAGAGGGAGAGGGAGAGGGAGAGGGAGAGGGAGAGGGAGAGGGAGAGGGAGAGGGAGAGGGAGAGGGAGAGGGAGAGGGAGAGGGACGGAGTATTTCTGCCTTACTCCTTCCCTCTCAGAGCAGAAGGAGTGGAAGAGACAGAGAGAGAGAGAGACAGACAGAGAAAGAAAGAGAGCCAAAGAGAGAGAACGCGAAAGAATAACAGAGAAAAAGAGAAAGGCAGAGAAAAAAAGAGAGAGTAAACGAGAAAGAGGGAGAGATCAAGTGAGAGAGAGAGACTAACCGAGAGAGAGTCAACATGAGTTGTATAGAGATAGGAAGAGCAAATATCTATTGCAATTTGGCAACGACAGAGGTGAGGTATAAAAGTACTGGGAGCTGGGGCTCTTGGGGCACAGATGCTCTGAGTCTAAAGCAACACCTTTGAAGACTTGAAGTTTCTGTTGAGCTGATTAATCGAGCTTCTACTAGCTTTCTATGAGTTGGCTCACCAGTAGGTTGTGTACACATTAAAATGTTCGCGCAAGTTAATGAAGCATTTGGCTATTCGTCCCGGATCCAAGCCCGAGTTGATGAGCTGCTGCAGCAGCAACGAATTGAACTCGTAAATCTCTTCAATGTTGGCAAAGAGTATTCGCAATTCGTCTGAGCGCAGGCAAGCGCGCTCCTTCCAGTCCAGAAGGTAACTGAGAGGGAGAGGAAGAGCCTTGTTAGCTGAGCTGCGTTTGAGGACGATGGAGGTGCTGTCTTACCCTTTGATAACCTGACCTAGATCCTCGACAAAGCTGCGCTCCGAGTCCACAATTTCCATGCACGCGCGTTCCAGCACGCTCATGGGATTCGTGTGCGAGGGATGATGATGATGATGATCGCCCAGCTCGTTCTCGCTCTCGGCCAAGCTCTCAACGCTGGCCAAATACGAGGTGGCAGCCAGTTTGCCATTGAGCAGCTGATCCGAGCCCGAGCTGGAGCTGGACGAAGTGGAGCAGATGGAGGAGGAGGACAGTGGACGATTGTTGAGACGTGTTAGCTCACTTAAACGTGGCGGATATTTCGGCTTGATGTCTGTCAACGTGTCCAGACTCTCCGCTGACAGCTTGTTGGCCTCCTCCAGCTCAGCCAGCTGCTCGGCTGTGGGCAGCCGCAGCGGCATGCCACCACCCAATGTGCTCGCCTTGCCACTCTGACTCTTCAACTTGGTACGTGCATATGTCTGCAGTGGAGTGCTGCCGGGGGAGCCACTCAGGTTGGCCCGCGGTGCCGAGACGCTGCGCACCAGTGGCTTACCAATCAGCGGCTTGTTTATGGCCTCCACCAGCTGCTCGGCTGGCTCCCTTTCACCCAGATCGAGGTCGCTTAGAGTCAACTTCTCGATGTGCTGGGCAACCAGGTCGAAGTTAATCGCATCCACAAAGGGCTCAGGGCTGAGCGGCTCGCTGGCCACCACGAATGCCTTCTGCCTGGGCGGTGGCACCGGCGTACTTGCCGCTGCTGGTGGTGCTGCTGTCAGCTGCATGCTCGTCACTGCCAACTGTTCCATTTCACTTAATTTGATGCTCTGCAGCTTTAGTTTGGCAAACGGATTTCCCTCGAAGTGAAAGGGTGTGCCGGGTGCTGCTTTGTTTGTGGGTGTCTTGTCCTCATCCGCAGATGGGCTGACCTTTCTGTGTGCACCACCGGCGTAGTCGCTGCCCCCATCCAAGGTGGACACCAGATCACTGCCCGATTGAGTGGACAGCTTGCCCGTTGTCTTGGAGAGCGGCAGATGCGATAGTTTCAGTTTGGGTGGTGCTGTGGTTGCGGCCTTTGCATAACGCACGGGCGTGGGGCTGCGCTGTCCGGGCAGTAAGTGTGTCTGCTGTTGGATCGCTTCGATGTCCACGGCATTTACGGGCTCCGCGTCTGCGTGTGTAATAATCCGCTGAACATTGGGCGAGAGCACGCGAATATTGTTGCCGCGCCGCGAATGATTGCTGGATGCTGTGGATGAGATGCTGTGATTGCTGCCCAGCTCCTGACGCCGTTGCACCACCAATCGACTCAGCTGCACGCCATCAGCCACATCGTCACGCAGGCCGGCAACCACCAGCGGCGTTTGTGGTCCACCATCTAAACTATAGCTGCCCGAATGGTTGTCGCTGCTGTTGCTGCTGGTGCTGCTGCTGCTGCTGCTGCTGGTGCTGCAATTGCTATTGCTGCGCTTAGGCGTTGACTCACCGCTGCTTTGCTGGCTGTCAGCCTTCGTTGCCCCTGCACCAACGGCCAAGCTGTTTGTCAGCGTGTCATAAAACCCCAGCAGCGACGGTGCTAGCTCTGTGGTGCTGCCTGCAATAAATAGAGAATACATTATGGTGGGTTGGGTGCAGAGGTATTTTAACTTTTTGTATATATAATATATATATATATATATATATATATATATATATATATATAGGGAGTTATGTGTAAGCTAGAATTATATAGAATTTATACATGCGCTTTTAAGCATAGCTCAGATTTGATTTTATGAAGCATTTCACTGATCATTTTCCCACATTTCACAGCTTTACTATTTTCACAGTTTATGTCTATGAGAAAGTGTTAGTTATGTTTATAAATTATTCTATTATTTTTATTATTATTTTATTCCTAACTAAAAGTGTGCATATTGTTACTTTTCAATCGGAAAAATACCTGTTTATTTGGTATGGTGTAGCACTACTATTTTTATGAACAAAACTATATACATATATATATATATATATATATATATATATATATATATATATATATAGATATATATATATATATATCTATTTTTTTTATTTTATTTATATTTTATTATATTCATAATTTTAAATCATCTATTTTGGCAAAGGATTTTCTTAGCTTATAAAAGCCTCAGATAATAAGAGAGATTTTTCTTCTAGCCAACCAGACATTGAATATTTCAATATATATAGATATATACACATAGACATAGTTATATATATATATATATATATATACTATATATATATATATATATATTATATATATGTGCTATTTAGTCTTCTATATATAGTAACTATAGCTTTACTTAGTTACCAATCCATACAGCTTAGAGAAAGGTAAGGTATCTCGCAGTTTACTTCCTCAAAAAATTTTAATGCTTAATTTGAGTGCGAATCCTTCCGTGCACTTCCCACTGTATTTTTATGACAGCTATTCGTAGTAACAGCTAATCAAGATCAGCTAACGCATATCTAATATACTAAAAATCAATCCAATTAGTCCTCAAATACTAACACTGACTTAGTCCAGTCAGCTTGACACGACATCTCGAAGAATTCTCGAGTTCTATTGAAAAAGTCATTTATAAATAAATGCAAATAATTACGCATAGGTTAGAACTCGAAAGAAAGCTTTAAGCTAAGCAAAAGTTTCGCTTCACTCAGAGATATGCCAGTTGATGAGACTTACAACTAGCCAAGTCCCAGACCTTCAGCTTGACAAGAAAAGTCAACAATTCGTAGTCCACAATCGATTTCAATGAGCGAACAGGCAAAGCCCTAACTGATCTATTATTCAAAGTCAATCAAAGGCTAACAAAATTCCCTACATATATATCTAGATATATATAGTGCTTAGTTGTTTACGATCTAGTCTAGACTCGATCGCAGTTTATAATTCACGAGTCGTCGATCTTGATCTGCATTCCACGTTAGTTGATTTATGCAATTTGCTGCCTTTTGTTTACTTTTTTTAACTTGGCTTACAAGGGGCATCATTAAATGGCTATTGAGTATTGACTGGCATGATCTATAATTTATATATCAACTGTCAGATATCATATGAGTGCCTCTGTGTGTGTGTGTGTGTGTGATATAGAATAATGTTATTAAATTCGCTAGTTGTGGAAGGTTTTCTTTGATTAATTGAACCATTTGTGAGAAATGATGAGCAGCGCTTAGGAATGCCCCCTTCGTTGCCAATTGCCCCGTTGACTGTTTGTCAGATGTTTGTTGTCGTCGGCGGTTGCGTTGCCATATCAATTCCCATGTCAAGCCATAGACAGACGCCGTGGACGGACTCGCAACCTACTTATTTATGCAACAGACTCAGCCAAGACAAGAACTTGACGCCGAAGCCGAAGTCGAAGTCGAAGTCGAAGTCGAAGTCGATGTCGATGTCTTGACTTGTTGCCTTGACTGATGGCCGCATTCTGTTCACTCTGCAAGTCTTGTTGCTGTGTTGTTGCGTGTCCTGGGGCTAAACAACTCAATACATCAGCTCCGCTTCGCTCTGCTCGGCTTGGCTTGGCTTGGCTTGGCTTGGCTTTAACATATTTCATTTAACGCAACTAAAAATTATGGCAAATATCACAAAATTGTGTGATGCCGATGCGGCCTATCAACGCGTGACGATCGTTAGACACGGCCACATATTAGCCCACACAGTCAAAGATCAAGTTTGGTGGAAATACATACAAATAGAGCAGCAGATAAAGTAGTTGAGGTAGTTCATCTGGCATACTCTTGATAGCATACATCTTCTCATAGTATACCCTTTTCTAAGTTTTTTCTTAGGATCTTTGCATACAGCAAAGTTAAGCTCACTTAGAGATAGATCTGTCTCTGCTTACTTTTCTTTTCGAGAATAAAATCTAAGCCTTTCCAAACTTCATATAGTATACCCTTACTAAAGATCTTTGGAAACGATTAAGCTAAGCTTGAGTTTGTCCAAGATATAGTTATACATAAGGCACTGAAAGTGTATCTTGATTCTCCTACTATCGTGTAATCCATGCAGCATTTCATTTGTCTATTCCTTCTAGCAAATGTGAGAAGAAATTCTCAGTTACTAGTACTGAAAATGATTACTATGTATATATAAATATACAATATATTAAATACTTTAGGTAAGAATTTTTATTGTTATTATTATATTATTATTATTTTTAGTATCATACGATACAAAAGTTAGTCCACAATTCCTTTTCTTTATGAGCCTTTGTTTTCCTAGCTCAGCTCTTCTTTCCTAATGGACCAAATGCATGATAATTCTGTAAAGCAATTCAGTGCTTCAATCTGTCAGACATTCTCACTAGTTCCTTTATTTGTACTTTATTCTGGTAACTCTCTTATCACTCAATCCAAAATTTGCTTTGCCTGTAGCCTACACCAACCTAGAAACCTTTTCTTACACACTTCTTTACCTCTCTGAGTAACATCTGAGTTTCCTTCTTTCTTTAGCTGACTTCTGCCAATCTAAATACTTCACTCAGCAATTTCCTTAAGCTTCTCTTGTGGAATTCTTAGTAGTTTATCTCACAAAGCTTTTCCCTGCCTTTCAATTTGCAGCACTCCTCAATTTTCCCATTCATTATAAGCCCCACAATACTTGCTGTTCTTCAGTGACTTATATATGCGTGCCTAATCCGAATGTCTAATCTTTTAGCACATTTGCCTAACAGCTCTGTAGAAAATAAAGAGCTGCCCACAGTTCTTGTGCCGAGGTTCAAAAACTGTGCCGACTGCGCCGGCTGAGTCTTAGCTCAAATCAGGCAATTAACTCTGCAGCAGCACATGGGCAATAGTGAGATGGCATCGACTGCAACTGGTTTTCAGCTATTTAGAATCCAACATATTAACATGGACAGCCAGCCAGCCAGCCGGCCAGCCGCAGCATCATCTTCATTGGCAGCCTTAGAGACGGTGCCCAGTTCCCAGTCTCCCAGTCTCCCAGTTCTCCCGACTTCAAGTTCCTGCACAGTAGCCAACGGGCCACTTTTTCTTCTAATTGCAAACGGTGTCAATGTGAAGTTGGCTACAATGTTGTTGCTGTTGTTGTTGTTGTTGTGATTTTTTCATATATTTCCTTTTAGCTGGCAGCTAGTTGCCACGTACAACAATTAGTTTGCTGCAGCAACAACGCCCACTGCCAGCTGGACCAACTGGCTAAGACTGATAGACTGATGGAACACTCAGTTATTCAACTGTCTATCTCGCCGGCTGTCTCTCTGTCTGACTGGGCGACTGGCTGACGACAAGTCGTAAACATGATTTGTACATTTAATTTTTCCATCATTTTGCTAGATTATTGCGTGGGTAGCAGAAAACCAATGACGAGCTTTGATGACGCCACAAAGATCTCAGCATTTCCTGCTGCTGCTGCTGCTGCTGGCCGCATCTCTGACCCACTTTGGTGGCAAGCAGCGCATTTGTTGCCGTTTTGCTTAATTGCCAGCCGTGGGACGAAACAGGCAACGAGCAACAGGTAACAGCTAACAGCGAACAGGTAACAGGCAACAGCTTATAGTTATGTCTAGTAAATGGCCACAAGACTTCAATTTTATCATTGTCATGTGTTTAATTAGCCCGCATTAGAGCTAAGCGCAACTGTCGTATACACTATAAACATGAGTAGGGACAATAAATTGAAATGCATAATAATAATAATAATAACAAAAAAAAAATAAAATAAAACTATATATAAAATAAAACACAATAATTAGTAAATTAAATTCAACGCATAAAATTAAAACTCAAAAATTAAATGCAAATTAAAAATTTTAATAATAAAATATAAATATATAAAAAATAATTAAAAATATAAAATATTTTAAATTATCAAACTAAAAAATAAATACAATCGCGATCAGTCGTTCGACCTGTAAAGACGTGAATTCGAACAGCCTTCGCTTAAGCTCTACTGCTGCAGAGTTCTAAAAATAGAACTTTGCGGTGCATTCTTCAACGCAACAGCAACAAAAACCGCACACGCAGCGTTTTCTTATCGCTTGCTTCCGCGTAACTCAATTGCTTTAATTGCAATTTACGAAATTTCGTCGCTTGGCGCGAGTGCGCCTGCACTCAAAAGCACAATCCGCGATGACATCTAATGTCAATAACCTCGCTACAGCTGTAAAGGTAAATGCAGAAATGCAAGCCCAGCTTAACGTTGTGATGGCAAATAGGCAAGCCTCCATCATGCCAATAAACTCAAAAATAGATATCGCCTCCGTGCAAGGCATCACTAACAACAAAAACACGAAACGTAAACAGCCAAATTCACCAAAAACCATCAAGAAAAGGCTCATCTTCGACGAACCAAGCACCAGCAATGCAGCATTAATATCAGAAAATCGATTTTCACTGCTCGTAGAAGAAGATGAAGACTACAGCGAATCACCTGTAGCTCCAGAAGCCCCAGTATTGACCGACCAGCAAACTACTCCGAAACCTCGTCCGCCCCCCATATGGTGTCCAAACATCAAGTCTGTGGCCCTACTTCAACAGATAATAGATAAAGTAATTGATGCTAAATCATACGTAATTAAGCCAAAGAAGAATAACATAGGTGTA